CATTGCGGACGCATTTAGCGAATACGGATGTCTAATTGTTTAAAAGACTAGCTCCCATTAAAAATAGAAAGCGATAACAACATAATCTAAATCTCACATATATTTATCGCATCACTTACTCCAAATAACTCGATCTGCTGACGAATACTTTACAGGTAGTTAGCTACCGAGGTAGTTCATGGACGACCAACTAAAAGTATAGGTCACATTTTATACACGGACAGCAAGTCCATCTATGATTCAACTTATGCTTGACAGATAGCCAGTAAATATAATTTGAGAATATATTTTACTCAACGTGATAAATTCACGAAATATTCTTCTTTATAACGACTGAAAAAAATAAAATTAATAGAACACTACTAAGACCCGTTAGCAGAGAATCACGCTTCTATGGTTAGATCCCCACGCGTTTGATCGAGAAAGCCAAAGTAATCATGTGACGCCCTGGTATGGCGGGCCCTTCGTCCCTCTCTAAATGCTCTTGCACGACCACGTGTATACGGCCTCTGTCAGGGAGCTTCTACTCAGTGCATTCTCGTGGCAGGACGTTGCTCACGAAAATGGGAAAACGGAAAGCGAATGTCCGTTGATTTAACAGGGTCCCAAACCAATGGTGCACATGGGCTCCGGCACTCTGAGGGAACGAATAGCGTATGAACCGATCTTGGTCACCGGCTACCATGTGACTGCATCTCATCACGATGCTCCACTGCCTTGTGGGCCAGACATTTATACAGAAGGCCCGTTGTGTGGCCCCCTAAGAAACCACCTGCCTCGATCTGGGCCCCGGGCAGTATCGCAGCCCACACACAAATAAAATCAAGATGACGGTACTTACTGAAGACCCGCTTATAAGCACTGAATTTTTTCTGGTTTCTTACAACACATTGGAGCCCGTCGGCCTACTCCGAGTGACCGTGCGTTCTACCGCAAACGAAAGCTGTTACATAATGAAATTGAGCAACGCCTGTGTAATGACCGGAAAGCCTGGTGGTCGGGGCGTGCTAATGGGCTGGAAGCAGCGGCTGCATCTGGTAACTACCGGCAGCTCTTCCGACTCATCCGAGCCACTGGCAGCAAGAAGTTGTGTGTGAGCGAAACAACCTGTGAGGATGACGAGATGCCAATCACTAACATCCATCGACATCTTGGACGATGGGCGTGAGTGATGAGATCGATTCATGTATAATGAAAGCCAGAGAGGCTTATGCCAACCTGGGCCACCTTTGACGCCTTCGTGATGTCAGTCTGCTTGTTAAAGGTCGGATCTACAACGCGTTGGTGAGAGCAGTTCTGATTTATAAATAAAAATAATATATTTGTAATATCTCAATGAGTAGAAAATTGGATTTTCTGACGTTTCGTGACTTACTGTAAGTCACTTCTTCAGAGAAAAAATAACCAAATTAAAATTAATCCAAGTTTAAATAGTACAACGGAACAATGCAGGAATAATATTTGATCGATCAAAAAACAGGACTGAACAAGTTGATGTCATGCCATTTCTGTCAAGCTGATTCATAAGTGATCCGTATGTAAATTTGTGTGTATGTATATGTGCATTGTTTAAGAATGGAAACTTCTGTGACCTTTATGGTAAGAAAGGATAGTTTAAATTTGTAATATGATAGTGTGAAATTGTAAATACGATCAGACTGAATGGCTAGGATAGATGGTCCAAGTAGTATGTATGGTAAGACCTTCCTTTCCACTGAGAGAAGTAGGATTAAGCATTATATGGAACGCCTCAGCTACCCTCCTTTCTTTGTAGTTTGAAAAGCCTTTTTGCAATATTTTGATATTTTTAAAATCGATTTGGTGGTTGCTGAAAATGACATAAACTGCTATTGTCGATTTAACTTGAAGTTGGTTCAATTCTACAGAATTGTTGGGAGGTTTCTTTGTGTACCTAATATGTTCTTTGGCTCTGGTCACGATTTCGCGGGATGACTCTCCAGTATAGAAGGTATCACAATCAATACAACCTAATTTGTAGATGCAGATCTATGTGGACAAGAACGGGATTTTTTCTCTTAGGCGAACTAAAGTATTTCGTAATGTGTTCGTTGTTTTGTAATATACTTTAATTCTGTGTTGTTTCAGAGATTCTTTGAAGTTCTTCTGTTGTGCCATGACAGTATGGTAGAACTGCAGTACCAATCCATAGCATTTCATTCGAATCATTATCATAACGTACTAAACTGTCTTGTTTCAATATAATGCTGATAACCTTCATAGGAGAATTATTAAATTGTAAGATGCTAATTACATTCTTTTGTTTGTCTTCCTATGATGTGATGATCTTGTTAGCTCTCCTAAAAAGATTTGTAGCGTGGTGTCGAGTCGTGATTGACTATGAACACCGCTACCAAGAAAACACGTGCCAAGTTAATCAGAAGGCGAAGGTTGGACGTAGCCAAATAAATCCATAAAATCCCCGAGAAGCCAAATATCAGAAGGCAGGTAATGGACCAAGTCGAGATATATTTTCTGGCGATCTCGTGGTATCGAAAGGATACCGAGATCGTGCCAGGATACAAGCTTGGTTACAGAACGTAACCAAATTCGCGCGAAGTCACAATCAAAGTGTGAGAATAAGAATGGAAGCACAATATAGCTGTCATTAGCACAGTCAAACAAAAGCACATTAAAAAAAGCACTGGTACAGTTGGTTATAATAACAATTGTTTTTATTAAACCAGTTGTGTTCTCGTGATAAATGTGAGTCACTACAGATTTAATGCTAGCGAGATCATATCATTAAAAGGATGTGCTGAATGGAAGTCAATATAACGATTTGAATGTGTCGGTTTTCGGTAAATGGATAGGTTTAGACTTCGATTTGGACTTCTTTTTACTAAGCAATCCAAGAATGGTAGCTCACAACGTACATTTTCATTCGTGAATTTGATGTGCGATGAAAGTGTATTTATTCGTTTTGAAAAAGATCTTAGATGAGTCTTTTTTATAACAACAAATGTATCATCAACATATCTAAGCCAAATTCGTGGTATAATGTTGTGAGCGAAGATATTTGATTCTATGTATGCCATAAAAAGGTTGGCTACAATCAAGGACACGGGGGATCCCATTGCTACACTGTTAGTTTGTTTGAATAACACCGTTAAAAGTAAACAGCGTTGAATTTAAGAAAAGTTTTAAGGATTTCATGATAAGGCTGATGCTCAACGGGCATCTGTCAGGAAGAGTATTGTCGTTCTGAAGTAAACCACTAATGAATTCTAAGCATTTATCAATGGGAACACTTGTGTATAAAAAAACGACATCAAAGCTTACCATGATTTTATTCTTCTCGATGATTAACCCGGATAATTTCGATTTAAAGTCATATGTGTCTTTAAATATATTATGTAAGTTGAATTGCAGTGGTTTTAATATGTTGCTTAAATATTTTGATAATGCATATGTTGGGGTGTTCGTGAATTCTACTATCGGTCTTAAAGGAATTTTTGGTAAGCCATAAAAACGTGAGACATTACATCATTTGGGATGCAACGCAAACCAAAGCGAGACCCCAATCATTGGTTTTAGCTCGTTCAGAAGTTGATTTGTTTCTAATTTGACTTATTCTTAATCGTTAGAGAAGTTTTTGGATTGATCTTTTCATAAGGTCCTGTTAAGAGGTGTTCAAGAGCTTTATTAATATAATCTGTTTTATTCATGACTACTGTTGTGTTGCCTTTGTCGGCTTTTGTGATGATAATCGTTTTGTCTTTTTTAAGTGAATGCAGAGCCTTCAATTCTCCTTTAAAAGTTTGGTGTAATGTGTTTTTGTTTAGTCAGAATATGGGATGTCTTTTGACGTAATAAATGCGACTCTTTTTCCGGTAGTTGTGCGACCATTGGTTCTATAATTGGAGCAATTCCAAGAGTGCTAAGTGGTTTTCTGTGTAAATTGAAATTTAATCCCTTCTCTAGTAGAGTGATTTCGTGACTGTTTAAGTTTCTGTTAGAGAGATTATGGACAGTCCTACTTAGATCATTCGAATTGTATTTTATTGTTGATGTTTTCTTATCTTTCTTCTTTTCTTTGATGTTTTCGAATTTTTTAATTTGTCGGTGTTTCGATGAATTTAAATAGTGGCGTTCTCTTTCTATAAACAGGTTGGATATAGTGCTTCGTAATTCGCTCGGGATTAAAAGCTTCAGTAAATCATCAAGGCTTTTGATTCGTTCACGATATTTTTCCAGTAAATGTGTGCATTTGTGAATGCGTTCTCGTAAGAATATTCGAGACGCGTGTCGCGAAGTCTGGATAGATCTCCAGGATCGTTCTGGAGGTTTTATAACGAGATTTAGGGATAATGTTGTCTTGTAAACATCGTTTATTAAATATTGTGATTGCACCAATTGCAAATATTATTCTTGCATTGTTCCATTGTACTATTTAAACTTGGATTAATTTTAATTTGGTTATTTATTCTCTGAAGTGACTTACAGTAAGTCACGAAACGTCAGAAAATCCGATTTTCTACTCATTGGGATATTACAAATATATTATTTTATTTATAACAATAAACTCAATGCTCAATTTATTCGAAATTATCAAATCAAATCTTGGTAATGACACCTACAGTTCTGCTTTATGCTTATGAAACCTGGCCTCTCCGAGTTGAGGATGTTAGACGACTCTGTGTTCGAACATCGTTGTCTCTGAAGGATTACTGACATCCAGTGGCAATACCATGTTAGTAATGCAGAGGTTCAGCAACATGTGTTCGGTCACAGAGACGATAATTCAATTGGTGTCACCATCTTGAAACATCGACTTCGATGGCTTGGACATGTTCTACGAATGTCGTCCCAGAGAATTCCATGTCGTGCATTATTTGCCGACGCTGGGACTGGTTGGAAAAAGCGGAGAGGTGGTCAGTGTATGACATAGGGTCATGGTATGCAAGAAAGCTGCAAAAGGCTGGCTTCTGTTGGTCCTTCACAACTCCCTGGCTGGGGTCCGAGAGATGGTGCAACACAGTGGCTAGAGACGTTATCAGATATGGTTCAGAATAGAAGCTAATGGCGATCCTGCCGTAACCTCCTTTTACTTCATAAAAATTGGTCGTAACTTCCTTAACTGAAGGAATTCTATCTGGTTGTACCTTTCCGTCTCACCATTATTATTATTATATTTTAATAATACTATTTAGTTTGATTGAGGTGATGGAACTTATATACGGTAGTTTCGGTAATAGGACGCGTTAAAACAATCTTCGATGGTATTCTGTTTTCCATTCAAATAAATTGTTATTAGTCATTTAAGCACATACATGCCTCTGATGATATACTTTGGTCTTAATCCATATCTTGTTTTATGTAGAACGGCTGGGTCACTGAGTGTTTATCAAATTATTAGTAAACGCCAACGTTTCAACATGTTTATCAACAAAGGTGAATAAAAGTTTACCTGTGCATTGTTTGGGTGTTCAGAACCTCTGTTAAACAAGGAAAGAATCGGAATGCATCTTTACCAACTGACTTCTTTTTATTCATTCCTCCAAAAAATTCTTGTAAATAATCTTGAAGTGTTATAATAGAAATGCTAAAGTATACAACAAAAGATGATTTCTTAAAACAAAAGAGAATTGCAAGGATGTCCTAGAATGAAATGCACTACATGTTAATTACTAATGTTCCTGCAATTTTTTATAAATATTGATAGAAGTACTAATGTCATAACACAGATAACTGGAGAAAAAACCGTGCCGTAAGTAAAATTACTTTGGCTTATATAAACTAATTTTCGGAAAAGCAATAATTTGAAAGCAAAAATACAAAAACCAAAAACTAATTTATAAGTGGTATCTAAGATGACAGATGACCACGGCGGAGGAGGTAGATAATCAGGACGAAATCCATGATGACAGAAACTTCGACGTACAACCTAAGGGAAAGAAAAATCCAAATTACTTTATGTTCACAAGAAGAGACATGAGGACATGTAAAACAGTATATTTCGTCTGAACTTACTTTGTGATAATGTATACGTCTGAAAAATATCACAAGATTAAAATAAGAGACAAGAGCATCGGCACACCATAACGGCAAAAAAACCCACCATAGGACTATCTCCTTTTGATCTGTACATAGTATATCCAAGATCTTTTCATCCCAAAGAACAGCTATACTTAAGCTGAAAATAATTCCAACTATGTGAATAGACAATTCAAATGGAGTGATATGCAGCCAATTCACCAAGTCATTGAGAGATATAGTCATTCGATGAGTTTAAGGGTTGGGTGAATGTTGACAGGTTTTAATTAAGGTGGCATTCAAAACCTATGAATAAACATTAGTAAAAATTCGATATTGTAACAATGAAAAACCGAATGAGGACAATAAAGCTAGCAAGTCAACTTTTTATGCGGGATCTTTCATCAACCTTTATTTGTTGACAGGATTTTGAACGTTACTATCTTAGTATTACATCTGGTCCATGCAAACTGAAGACGTATAAAGTACCGTTCGGTAAGAACCACTGCCCAGTCAGTGCTATAAAATATAGTGCTGATATTATTTTAAACAAATAATACTTATTATTATTTATTGTGGAGTTTATTTACGGTTTATATAACGACGAAAGACTAACTCGATCCTTTGAAATTCCATGAAATAATACAGTAATCCAAGGATGTGTTTACATTAACACTGTCATGAATTTGTAAATTACTTACTAGTAATATACATCAAGTATTCTAGAATAATCATTTAATTAAATTCTGTCTAAACAGCCAACATAACTAATTAGGCTCATGCTGCGACCTTAAATTCCCTTTTATCGTAAACTAGATTTAAATGTACCTTAGGTACACGGTTTAGAAAAGAGTAAAGCAGACAAGCAATTCAATTTCGACAGAACAACATTGTAATAAGCATGTGATCATTTCTTGTAAAACAATACAGGCTATGGAAAGGGGATTTTGTACAGAATAATTTCAATGAAAATAGAATATATAGTGAATTATTCAATTGGATGAATCAGATCATCATCCCTTGAGTTCGGTAGAATAGGTAATGCACAGTGTTCACTAGTATCATTATCGTTATTAGCACCAATGTTAGATTGTATGTTAGTTTTGTCGTAACTGCAGTTTGCTTGTTGACCAGCAGCACCGTCGGTATCAGGAATAGAACTTGGAACTTCCTCGTCATCAGACAATTCGATAAAAATCCCCTGTTCACATTGTGGTGAGCTACTGAGTTTTAGTGATCCTGGTCGAGGTATCAAACTATCTGGATGAAAATTTTCCATATCAGGACAAATTATTTTATCAACAGGTGCTTGACTATTATCGTTTTCACGCCGACTATCACCAGTGTTATCAATATCATCATCGTCGCATAAATTTACTTCTGTTTTTTCCCCAACAGTTTTTGGTAAATGACATGAACGACCACTGTTAGTAATACCTATATTATTTGTATTTCCACTTGATATTATTTTTAATTTTTCTTTTCCATTGGCTTCATCGTCTCCAGTGAATGTTACTGAAGCGGGCATACCAGGAAAATCTGCGTACATATCTTCTAATAATTCTTGTAGATTTTGTACTACTGTAATTAAAAGACAACAACAGTAGTTGTAGTTAATCGACTACAATTAATTCGACATTTTGAAATGTTAACGGATAGACATGGTACAGTAAGAAAGGAGAACGGATGAGTTGTTATCAAAGAAAATCATGATAAGGTCATCTACGTAAACTCATACAATAATTTACTGGATATGCTCTAACGAAATAAAGCGATTCTACATGATAAAAGGAAGTTAAACAGAAAAAAACCTAGAGTCATATGAAAATGCTACAGAATAAATACATACAAAAAGTTCGAAACATAAGGTCATGCTAGCAAAAAGAAATGTTGGGGGAGCGGAATCGTATCGAAATATTCACTATGGAATCATCGTTTTCTTCACTGTGACTCAAAGTGAATGATATTTCAGCTTATTAAATAAACATGAACTCGGTTACCATAGTTCCTTGGAAAACGGAACAAAACGTTAAAGAAAGCAGAATTCAAAGTTTTGTCTTTATGTAGGGATGAATGTAACTATGCGTGTAGCTGTTATACAGTTACTTCCGGTCCCAAACCCGGGTAAGGTAGAAGGGTTAGGTATGGCGTCAGGAACTCAATTAAGTAGGAAACAATCTTGCCAAAAAACGCTAGTCCAAATAAACCATTTGAACTTCGCCCTCCGAGCTGAAGGATTTTCATTCAGAAAAATTATGATGCCTCATGGTGAAAGCCGAGATTCTCCGGAAGTCACGAGGCCAATGCCTCTTTTAACGACCAGAGCACCAATTATTATAGGTACATGGAATGTCCAGACAATGTGAGAGACTGGGAGGACCAATCAAAAAGCTGCAAGAACGAGATACAACTTGGTGGTGCTCGGATTAAGCGAAACCCAGTGGATCCAAGCTGCACAAGAAGGTTACGTTCCAGAGAGATGCTGTTGTATTCTGGTCGCGAAGAAGAAAATGCTCCGCACACTCAGAGAGCTGCTCTGATGCTAATCAAGAAAGCACGAAATGTACTTATGGAATGGGGATCTCATGAAAGCAGGATCATCAAAGCATCCTTCAAAACAAAGAAGGAGGGAATTACAATGAATGTTATCCAATGTTATGCCCCACCAATGATAGCAGTGACGACGATAAAGATCAGTTCCATGAGAGACTTCAATCAATCATAGCGAAGTGCTCAGAGAAAAGATCTCACCATCCTGATGGAAAACCTAAACGTCAAATTCGGAATGGACAACACTAGGTACCAAGATAACATGGGACGACATGGACCAACTGAGAGAAAGGAATGAGAATGGGTAGAAATGTGCAAATTTAAGTACATTTAACTAAGAGGTTATAAGAAGCACTATATTCTTTCACAAACGCATACACAAAGCTACATGGATCTCACCGGATCAAAAAAGAAATCTAGACCGACCATCAGAAGGTCAATGAGAGATGTGAGAACCAGGAGAGGAGCTGACATAGCTTCAAATCACCACCTGGTAGTTGACAAGATAAAGTTGAAGCGAAAGAAGCATTGGACAACTTGACAAACAGCATTACAAAGGTTCAACACAGCCTTCCTTAGAGATACTGACAAACTCAACGAATTCAGGATAGCTCTCAATAACAGGCACCAAGTCTTACAAGATATACTCAAAGAAGAAGAAACTACTATGTAGGACAACAGGAAAGCGACCAAAGAACCACTAACTTCAACGTGTCAGGAGGTACTAGACCGCAATAAGCATCATCATAAGGAATGGATCTCTATCGAAACCCTAGACAGCAATTAACAAAAGCCCAACAACAACAGAGAAAGTCAAGGCGAAAGTTGAATATACAGAAGCGAACAAGCAAGTGAAGGAGAGCATTAGAGCAGACGAGCAGAAATACGTGAAAGAGCTAGCAACGACAGTGGAAAAAGCTGAAAGAAAAGGGAATATAAAACAATTATATGACACAACGAAGAACCTGACATGGAAATATAGTAAACCAGAGAGACCGGTCAAAGACAGAGGAACAGATGGACCAGCTCCATTGAATCCACCCAGCATCGAAGAAGCACCTAAAGACCTTCCTATAGATGTCACTCCACCAACGATCAAAGACATCAGGATGGTCATCAGATAAATCAAGAGTGGGAAAGCAGCAGGACCTGACAATATACTGGCCGAAGCACTAAAGTCAGATATAGAAGTAACTGCAAAGATGCTCCATGTTATATTCCGGAGGATTTAGGAGGAAAAACAAGTGCCACTAACATACTGGAAAGAAGGATACCTCATCAAGATACCAAAGAAAGGGAATCTCAGCGAGAGTGAAAACCCCAGAACCATCACACTACTACCAGTACCAGAAAAAAATTTCAAGTGTTGCTGAATCGAAAGAAAGATTCACTAGACGTCCAGCTTTGAGATCAACAGGTTGGATTCCGTAAGCATCGGTCGCGCACAGACCAAATTACCACACTATGGATCATCGTTGAACAATCAATTGAATGAGACTCATCGCTATACATCAACTTCATTGATTACAAAAAAGCTTTGACAGTGTGGATAGGATGACCCTTTGGAACATTCTTCGACACAATGGATTATCTGAGAAAATAGTCAAAATCATCCGGAATTAACACGACGAACTACACTGCAGAATGGTGCATGGAGGACAGCTGGCAGATGGATTCCAAATAAGGAACGAATTCAGATAAGGCTGCTTACTCTACCTCTTCCTCTATCTTCTGGCCGCTGAATGGATTATGAGGACCTCGACATCCGAGGGAAAGCACGGAATACAACGAACAGTTTGGATGCTACTAGACGATTCGGGCTTTGCAGACGACCTGGTTCTTCTATTCCATACACACAAACGGGTGCAGGTCAAAACAACCAGTGTAGCAGAAGCATCTGCATCAGTAGGTCTCAACATACACAAACGAAAAAGCAAGATCTTTAATACAACACAGAAAACACCAACCTAATCACACTCGATGAAGAAGCACTGGAATAGGTGTAAAGTTTCTCGTACTTAGGAGGCGTCATCAATAAACAAGGAGGATCTGATGCAGACGTAAAGGCGATCGTTAGTAAAGCAAGGACACCATTCCTACAGTTGAAGAACATATGAAACTCAAAAGAACTGTTAACCAACATCAAAGTCAGAATCTTCAATACGAAATCTCGAGACAGTTCTACTGTACGGAGCTGAAACTTAGAGAACTACTACAACCATCACCAACAACGTACAAGTATTTATAAATAATCATCTACGCAAGATACTCAATATCCGTCGGCCGGATGTCATCAGCAACAGCCTACTGTGGTAGAGAACAGACCAACTTCCAGCTGAGGTGCAAATTAGGAAAAGTCGTTGGAAATGGATAGGACACATATTGAGAAAATCATCAAACTGCATCACGAAGGAAGCGCTAACTTCGAATTCCGAAGGGAAACGGAAAAGGACTAAGAACATATTGTTTCGGAAGTTGGAAGCAGACATGAAAAGGATGAATAGCAACTGGAAACAAACGGAAAAGATTGCCCAGTACAGAGGTGAATGGAGAATGCTTGTGAGCGGCCTATGCTCCTCCATGAGGTGTAACAGGCGTAAATAAGTAAGGATGAACCTAATCTACTTATTCCACCTAGAAATTTAAATATAGCCTCAGTAACGCTCATTTAATGATATTATTATATACGAGTAACAGTTCAAAAACACTAATAATCAAATAACCTACAGACATTTTGAAGCTTATCAATAATATATATCAGAGAGAAGGATAAGTTTACTATGAACACAATAGTAGTAAAAGTTGTAACTAACAAATATTTCAGATTGATTTACTCGATTTTAAACTTAATCATTTTAGCGAATTGAGAAATTACGAAAGCATTCTAATTTGACATCGGTTTCCAGGAACAGATTTATGAATCAAAGCAACGAAGGACTTGGAGCGTCATAGGAGATATAAACAACGTTTCAACATTCCCTAGCAATATATTAAATAAAATATGAATAATGTAATAAGCGTACCATATATGCTTATTTATGTGTGACATGTTAATGAATAATAAATAAGCAAAAGACCACTTTTCTTCGCTTATAACATTGAGCAGTTATAGACAGACCTGTACGTGTAGCTTCTCTTGCCCTTGGATCCTTAGGTAAAGCAATTCGTTTACGAGCTCCTGTTTGGATTAATTTATTAGACAGACAAATAGCCAAATTTCTAGTACGCACTGGGTCCAGTTGATTTTGGTGTGTGGTACTACTAAGAGCAGCTTCAGCGACTTCGTACAACGTTTGTTCGACAATTAAAGCTTGTTCAAGTAATTTCAAGCGATCTAATAGGAATGCTTGAGCTTCAGTTGATTCAGAAGGAGTTTGACGAGAAGCGGATGATGTGCCATGTGAACCTTCAAAAGTAAATTTATGTAAATAAATGGTACATTTAAAACAGGAGTTCTATTTAATAAATATTTGCGCATATTTAATAAATCTTACACAATCAAAGACCTTTTACATCATTAATAAGTAGTTCAAGAGTGATAATTAAAAAAGCCTTTTCAACTTACGAAAAAATGCACAACTATATTTGTATACAATGCACAGAAATAATACTTTGTTATAATGTAGATTAGTGGTTAAACACCTGACGAAAGTAATAAAAATGGTAAAGCAGAACAACCACGTCCAAATAACGTATTATCACGTATGTAGAATAGGAAGTGCAAAGATAGTGTGTTAAGATGGGAGAGTGAACATATTAGTTTTTAAGAAAGAGTTGAGGATTTAATTGGTGAACTGAAAAATTATTTATTTATTTTAACACATAGATATTGGTACAAGGAGGCACCAAATACATATGCGCCACACAAATCTCATTCGATATGTGTGAGAGCTGTGATACTGCCCGGGTGCCCAAACCGAAGTAGGTGGTTTTCTTAGGGGGCCACACCCCGAGCCTTCGACCTGAAGGTCTGATCCACAAGGCAGTGGAGCATCGTAAGGAGATGCAGTCTCATGGAAGCCAGTGACCAACAATTGGTTCGTACGCCGTTTGTTCCCGCAGGATACTGGAGCCCACGTGCACCATTGATTTGGAATCCGGTTAAAGCGCCGGACATTCGCTTTTCGTCCTCTCATTTTCGTAAACAACACCCACGCCACGAGAAGGCAGTGAGTAGGACTTCCCTGGCAGAGGCTATATACGCGTGGCCATGTGAGAGAATTTCGAGAGAGAGAGAGAGCGGACTCTCCCCATTCTCGGCCGTACCAGGGCATTTGGGGGCTAACTGAAAAAACAGGTGTTGAGATGCACATCCTAGATATCTAGTTACACGTGATAATCAAGAGTTATTATTTGAAAAGAAAATGATGAGTTACAAAATGCAGAAGAATGAGATATAAGCGACAGTAACAACGGGTGAAGAACAAAGTTATTTATGATCAGCATAAAGTAAAAAGATTGGAGGATTTTCAAGAGAATAACACTTGCTACGTAAGAGATTACCATCAAAAGTCAATAACCCATTTGCAATTACAAATATTTTGATAGAACTAGTGATAAATCAGACTTTCAGTAGAGACATTGATATTAATTGGGTATACGGGTCTATTTAACTAAGACGTCTGAAACGAGAAATGTTTTTTCTATGATTATTATTTTACGAATATTTAGGAGAAAAGAAATGAATAACTACTAAAATAAAAGTACGCTCAACACTTACTTAAATCAGCATTCATAAGCTTATGCATACCCTTTAGAACTCCTGACAATCCAAAATTAAGAATACGAAAACGTGGATCAGCTAATATATCAGCCCATCGAGAATAGCCATGAACAAGTATGCCAGCAAGAAGCCAGTAATCATGACGTGAATGCCATATTCTCTGGGTTTTTATTATTAACTCTGAATTTCTCGCTATTTCTGAATGAGATTGAATTGTTTGACAAATATTACTGATCTTTGCACATTCTTCATTCCACACAGAACGTAATAACGTTAAACCACCTTCGTGTATAGCAAATTTGAAAGTGGGACTTTGAATCTTTAAAAAAAAATTGAAGGGATCATACAAATCATTGCAGAATGTAATTATTTCTTACATATTTGCTTGTGACTAATTTGCAAGAAAATATATACGTTATTTCACAAAAAACTGATTGGCAGAAAGTGAATTACGAAGAACTGACATCAACTGTAGTACTACTTATTTCTAAATGTTCTGATTTCTCAATACTCTCCAGTGCAGATGACTGAGTTTTACAAGTTTGAGCTAACAACTGACATTCCCTTTTAGTAGTCAGTATGGATTAATTTATGATGTAATTGACTTAACATTTCCAACTATTATCATCGAATATTTATTCTCAATTTCAGCGAAATCATCAGTTAAAGACACAGCTTCTCTTAATAACGTTGGATTATTATTAGTTTCTATAGAACTCAATCAAATTAAATACTACGTTGAACTACTGAACACGAAGTTATTTTATTTGGTAGCTTGCCAATAGCGCCGAGTTTTGAACCTAAATGTCGCTAAATATGATACCCAGTTACCATGGCGAAAGACTCTTTCTTCCTAGACGTACAGCCAGCTGTTCGATTTCGCCTGCAGATTTGATTATTAAACTTGTATAATAATTAATAATAAGTACTTGCATCCAGATAATAGAACAATAAGACTAACATCAGTAGAAATACTTGTCGGTCCATTTACATCTTCATATTGTAATACTTTATTTCTAATCAAGGCCATCACTGCAATACGTGAAAGCACCGCAGGAACACATAAATGTTCTTTAGGTAAACCATCGGACCAACTAAATAAAAAATAAAAAAACACAGAAAATGAATTAGAAAGAAAACCAAAAACGATGCGTCAATTCTGAACTACGGATGTGTGACATTAGAAAGTTGGGAAGGGAAGACCAGAAAAATCGCACCCTGATAGAGTTATAAGATCTTTAGTGTTTTAGAATTCTGAATCAAAATTTATGCAATTAATTAGTGTTGCATTCATAAATAAACACTTGTTTTTAGAGAATTCACTCATTTTGTCTTTGATGGAAAACCCAACGGAGAAAGTGAAAACTCATTTTGCATGAAGTTTAATAGAATGTTCTTAATACAGTTAAATTGAACTAGCAAATATCAAGCCTCAATCAGCCTTTAATTAATGGTCGGTAATAAAACGATTGTCGAGAATATTTTAGGCTTTTTTTCTAAAGTATTTACTAATTTTTCTAGCTGTACGAAATGATTTATCCATGACGAATATCGCTGATGAGTTTAAATACTAGCTTGCTTAAGTTACTGGCTGATAAATTCAGCAGAGATTGACTGCGAGTTTTACAAGGTGACACGTAATTACTTATATCCTTTTTGATCATTAGAAAAAGAAATGCAGAATAGAGATTTATGCGTACACAATAAACAACTATCCGAATAATTTACAAAATAAACAAAACACCAGAATGCCTACCTTTCTTCAGATTCATCTAATCCATTCGGGTCATCGTATAAATGTTTCATGTACAGACATACGTAACCAAACAATTGAAATTGAGATTTATAATATAAGGCTGGCGGAAGCCAGTCTTGAGGTGGGACAATACCAGGTGGTGGAAGACCGAACCTAAAAATTGTAAAGAAAATGTAGATAAAGTAGCATTGAAGAATCTTAGTGAGTCCAATTTCTTCATTAAAACATTAAGTCGAAATATCACTCCGTCTAACGTCTATTTGGCATCTTGACAACGATCATAGATTAGCGTTTCTCTCAGTAATTCAATGTTTCATAAATAGCTTATAACGTTTCCCATATCAAAATTACTAATGATGCAATTAATGGATAGCATTCTCTTTTGATATATGGAACGTGATATAGCAATTTAGATTATTAGTTCACCACTATAATTAGGCTCTACTAAATCACCGATGGACAAGAAGTATAATGTCGTATCGATATATACGATATCCTAGCAGAGTCCATTCATTATTCGCTGAAAAGTCATCAGTAAGAACTAGGCCTTTCTTATAGGAATACATGTATTGAACTAGATTAATAATTCCCTTGAAATTCTCCACATGGTTCATTTACGTATCCGAATGAATGGTTTAGATCATATTACATTGTTTCAGATACACGATAATGAAAAATTTCAAAAAAACAAATACAGAATCAGTAGTTTTCGTTATCAAACAGAGTTACTGATAGCAATATGTTCATTGTTATTTAATCAATAGTTTAGGACCCAATTTTACCAACGTATAGCACGAAAATGATTCAGCATAAAAATCCACTTTGCAGCGTATACAAACTGTTTTTAATAAATGAAACAGAACATTTCAGAGATTCATTTGATTATCAGTAAACATATAAAGTTTAAAAGTATTGCTAATCACTACAGAATAATTAATAAATTCCTTTATACAAAAATGAAATAAACTATGGTTTAGATGTTCTACCTTTATACAAAAGTAACAATAATAATAATTTAAGTGAGTTTTTTAAGTTCGTTATTCATGAAAACTGTCAACATAATGCTGGAGACTTTTAGATCATTCACGGATATTTGTTCTAACTCCATAATTAGCTGATAAGCTCAGCTGAATCTTAACCAAACAGCTTTCTGTTGGTCACTTCAATCTTCATGATACAAGTGATATCCAGGAATTCATGTGAGATACTATATCAAACTTCAAAACTTGCCACTAAAAATGTTGTCTGCAGACAACAATAGTGGGAAAACCAGGTGACGCGAAAATCATAACCACTAAATGGATTAGCTGGGGCTTATTGTAATTTATTAAGAATAATAAAAAGGTTGTTGTTCTGGTCATCAAGTTCAAATATTCCGTTACAAGTAATAAAAAATTACTGGGAGATAATAGAAAATTATCCTAATGCGATGGTGAATATAACGAATGAATATTATGAAAATGAAGAATAGACGCCAAATGATTTACAAGATATGATATATTGCAGCACAATACAATGAATAAAAAAAATGACAAAAACAAAACAAGGGATTATGTTCACCCCATAAAATCCCATCTTTATAGTTGCAAGAAGCATAATTCTATAGAACAGTATCTGAGAAATTACCTCATAACTGCATTGTTGAATAACTGACGATCATTAGGGCCAAAGTTATATATAAATAACTCATCCCGATGCCATGTGATATGCTGACCAAGATCGGAAACTCGTGCTCTCCATTTGGCATAAGTATCAGCTGTGGGATACCAACAAACTGGATTGACTGCATTAGCAGATGATTCCCAGAGAAGAAACTCTTCACTGTCACTGCTGTCAACAATAGCTTCTGAAGTTGGCAAAGACGTATGAGTGCTAGACCTTCGAGTACGCTGTATGAGGTTAATAAATTCATACATTATTCAATTTATACAGTAATTAATAAATTTTTGCTTTGATAATTCAAAAACATTATCAATGTCAATCTCTAATCATTAAAATACAGCTTCATGGAACAAATACGTAGATGATTTATGGTTGGAATTACCTGACCAACTGGATCGGTGACTTAAACAACTCATTATGAAAACAAGTTCCATCAGGGACGTGCATTTTTACAAATTCACATTACACTGCAATAATATGCACCAAAGACGAGAGGAAAAATGAATAACTGCATAGTAAATAAAGAAATAAGTTTTATATACCATTGAAATTAAGTTACTTTTCCATTTTATCAGGGCTCTGTTGATTAGGCATTTTTATTATCTAGTACTAGGTGATCGTCGCTTTGTAATGACTAAAGGTTTTATGTTATTTTCTTTATGTCACTCGTGTTGTAATTATTATCCTGAAAATTACTGACATCGTTTTTTCCGATTTGTAGAACCCTAATAATTCTATAAATCAGTATGAACAGGAAATCATTTTTGAATAAGTATGAAACTGTCTAGATTTTACTCGTGGGGGGGCTTTTTCGAGGGTGAACACGAGTGAGCAAACAAATGTCTAGATAGACGTAAAGCAAATCTGAGTGGTAATTGTTCACACAACCCAATTACTGACACTAGCTCTCAAATGGAATGATAAAAGAGGATAACACAACTAGGCAACAGACAGTGTTATTTTCACTAGTTGACATACCAATACGCAGCAGTAAAGTGAAAAAATAACTGATGATCACATTCTTTTACTGCGTGTTTGGTTACTAGGCGAATAGTATAAAACGAGCATTCCCGATATATTAAACGCATTAAATTATGAAATATAAAATCTTAAGTGTGATATAAATAACAACAAAAACTCACACTTGATGCTAGTGAATCTTTAACTGGTTCGACTGAATCAGTTTCGTCAGACGGCAGATAAGGGGGATCATCGTCACTAGTAATGTCCGGCATAGAGCATTCTTCTAAAGAATCTTCGAAATCTGTGACATGATAAGTATTAGACTTTTCAAAAGCATTTCGATGATATGGTTTTTTAGAAGTTACTCTTGATGACCGAGCTCGTTTGACAGAGGCAGGCATTGGTTTAGATGAACAGGGTCTAGCTTTTGGTTTTTGATGACCCAAGTTCCCATATTTGTTTTGGAGTTCAGCAACTAACAATTCCAGTTTTTCATCCTCAAATCCATGATAAAGATTGAAAACCTTACGTCTTTCTTGCCGTGACAAGCGTAACTTAATCACTTCACGTACAGCTTTAGTTCTATCAAACAGTTTTTCTTTATCACTAATAAATGAATCAGTTGAATTTTCATCATCCTTTTCTAGTTGTAATTCTTTGCTGATGATAACATCATTGTTCAAATCACTAGATTTATCACCTACTACGTCTCTAATACTATGGTTATGCATGGTTCGATGGTTTCTTCTGGATTCGCTTGTCGCTTCAACTTCAGTATTCAAGAGACGCTCATAGCGTTCATGTAGCAGTCTGTCCCAAAAATCAGCAAACCCGATAGACTAAGAAACAAAAAATTAAAAGTTGCAAACAATTTCACTGATATAACATTCTGTGGCTAAACGATGCGAATCATAAAATTGCTAATAAATAGTATATTCTTTTCGAATTTGTTAACACACCATCAGCAATGAAAAGAAATTACCAAGTACGCCAAATATTAATTAAACTTCGACTGCAGTGTCCCAAGCGCGGGCAAGGGAATAGGGTTGGACGTAGCGTCAGCGATAACACTTTGTCAGTCAATAAGTTGCAAAGTATGTACTTATGTACACCGGTTCAAGCTACTACACCCCACCGCCCCCGAATGCCCTGATACGGCCGAGAGTAGGAAGAGTCAGCTCTACCTCTCGAAATGCTCTCACATGGCCACGTGCATACAACCACTGCCAGGGAAGTCCTACTCATTCCCTTCTCGTGGCGAGAGTGACGTTTGCGAAATTGAGAGGACGAAAAGCGAATGTCCGGCGCTAAAACCGGGTTAGTGGACACGGAGAGTCCACCCAGGGGAGTTGGAAAACCCCGGTTCCAAACCAATAGTGCACATGGGCCTCAGTAACCTGAGGGGACAAATGGCGTAAGGACCAATCGTTGGCCACCGGCTACCATGGGACTGCATCTCCTTACGTTGCTCTACTACCTTGTGGATCAGACCTTTAGGTCAAAGGCTCCGGGTGTGGCCCCTAAGAAAATCACTTGCTACGGTTTGAGCACCCGGGCAGTATCCCAGCCCTCACACAAATCGAATGATTTATGTGGCGTATATCCACTTCGTGCCTCCTTGTACCAATGTTCATTTGTTTAAACAAATAATAAATATATAACCATACCCCACCAACATAAAGATGAAATCGTTAGACCGAAACGCAGAGAAATATAGGCGATAACAGTACCAGTGCTGATAGAAAAGATTAGGAATGTAAGACACGATCCAAGAAAACACAGATTAGTGAAATAATAAAAATTATAAGGACTTCAGAAGCTCAGAATTCGAGGGAAATCAGAATGGAAGTACTTGTACCATTCCAAACGGTTTTGAACCGTGTTATTGCAAGTCTCTAGCGATTGGTTACGATAATCATGCGGACTCCAAACAGGTAGCCTATGCCTATTAATATGCTTCAGTTTAATTGTTAATGGTTACATGGGCTGGTGCCATGTTTTGACCTGGACGCCCCTCCCTGGCTTTCTTCCAGCATGTTCCTATACCAGACATCGCCCGTTGGGGTAGGCGGTGGTTGGACATATGTCCCAACCACCTCAACTAATGAAGACTAATTACCTTACCAATCAATTTGCAATCCGTACCCAGTACCCTATTCCTAACCCAGTCACAGATTACTCGGTAATCCCGAAGTACACGACCAATACTTCGAAGACAGCTATGATCGAATGCTAATAACCTACGAATAACCTCTACTATTTGCAGTCAGTTTCCCCACCCATAAAGTAGGACGGAGCGAACTACTGCATTGCAAACTAAACTTTCGGTTGGCAGATTGATATCGCGTTTACGCCACAAATGGTGAAAGTTGATAAAACCACTCCTTATCATTAGTTCAAGCGTTGACGCAGACCCATCCTGGAGCAACATTTTGTATTAGGTGAGAGAAAAACGCATCTCAGACACGTTTGCGTGGTTGCCTAAGGTGGTCAGAGTTGTCGGATTCTTCGCCATCATCGTCTGCGTATTCCAAGTGAGCAAGATAAACTCCTGGTAGATCAACTCGTAAAAAGCCAGACGATGTGTGTTATCACTCAAAGAATGCTTATGACAAAGTCAAATAGAAATGGGGAAAGCGGACAAATTTGACGAACAGCTTTTGAAGTTGTCAGTTTTGTGACAGTTGACCATAAACTCTGACTCAATCAGTATTGTTCGAATAGAGAGCTTGAACACGGTTTATGTACTTTTTTGCACCTTTCAATGATAGACAGTGCCAGAGAAGCTCACAGTCAAGTGTTAAACGCTTCCTTAAGTTCAAGAAATAAAATTAATTTCGAACATCAAAAAGTTTTTGTGTTCCAAAACCTAGTGAAGGGTGAATGTTTAGTCTGTACACCCACGTTTAGATATAAAATCAGCCTGGTTTTCTCGAGTTTGCTCTTTACGAACCCTAAGTAAGCGGTCAAAGTATTATTGAGACTAATACTTTAGACATTATATTAGTTAAATTGATACTTCTGTGACTGTCACAAAAGGATTTTTGTTCTTTCTTACAGACCGTGACTAATCAAATGGGATTGTATCCAGTTACCAGATTCTAGTTAAGATCATAGTAACTTTTCAAACTGGACGACAATCCTTAAAAATCTCAAGAGTTAATCCACTAGGCCATGATTTTCTCCTTCGATATAGATTCGCTATAGCTTTTTCAACTTCACTATGACGTGGAAGATGTATGTCCATTCGTCATTCAGGTTGCTTGGAGGTAGTGAATAACTGAAGTGTGGCTGAAGGCGAGTTTAACTGTTTCCTAAAGTGTTCTTCCCATCGATACAATCTCCTGGGTTAAGAGTGAACAATAGTTCCGTCTTTTTCCGAGATAGTTTCACTAACAGCCGGATTTTTATTACCCGTCTCCTCGATAAATCTGAATAGTTGTCTAATGATAACTATTGCAGCTACCTTTTTCATATCTTCTGCTTTGGCTACCCAGTACTGCTCATGATCATTACGTATGCTTTTAATCAACCTACGTTTAAGATGTCTCTGTTCCTCATCGTGTTCGGAGCCAGATGAGGTTATTTCCCGAGGATCTATCATTTTTTTCGACGTCACCGAAACCAAATGATTTTTCCTAACCTTTCTGGTTTAAGTTACTAGTAAATATCACTGCTGTTCTCATAGTTTTTTGAACATCATGCACAGATATCTGGGGTTTGATTTCGCTTTTATGGTCGACTAACTCATCTAGTTTTTTTTTGAAATATATTTTTAACTTTTTCATCATTAAGTTAAACTAAGGGAGTTTTTCATTGTTAATTTCTACGTCCAGCAAGATGTAGACAAATACGTGCTCGAAATAGGGCATCATTTGAGCCAAGACATGTGCTCCAGAACAGGCAACAGTCTTCTACCGAGCCCCTTGAACGATGACAAATGGCAATGTAGTCCATTTGAGTCCATCGATGAGTCGATCGTTGGGGTCGCCACGTCAGACGATGTTCCTCCTGATGTTTGAAGTTGCTTATTACTAAAATCAGACGGAAGACGAATAGAAGAGATGGCTGCAAAATATCGTAGAGTAGTCGAAGTCAAACATGAACGCCTTTAGATCCCAGTTCAGTGGTCTAGAAGCTAAGCGCAAGACCAAAATGTCTTGGGTTTGAGTCCCGCGTGTGGAATTGTGGATGCGCTCTGGAGAGGAGTGCCATATTAAGACGAAACGTCCATTTAGTGCTTCTACGTTTTTAGTGAACTGATTTAGATCGGTATATGATTTCAACAAAATTCAACAGTCTCCTCGACCCTATACTGAAAATTAATCTAAATTCGTTAGTTGTGAAGTCGACAGCTGATCTAAGAAATATTGATCTTAATAAAACCAACCATACTTCAGCATATGTTCCATCAGTAACCATGGTTGGACTGACTGATTCAGGATTTTTTCACTGATCTCCATTTTGTTAACCTGCTCTTCATTATCTTTTGTTACAAAACAATCCACAGGCTCAGCGTTTATTTCGTCAAAGTGCGCTACTCGGAACGCACTTAAATATTCGTCAAAAGCTGGAACAATCTCTTCGGAATCAGCCATCATTTTTGAACGATCCAGGAGTTTGGAAATAGCCTGTGAATCATATACAATTCTTTGATAAGTATCTTTCGATTCAATCTCTACAAGCAGAAAAAGGGACACATGTAAACGTACGAGCGGGGGGGTTGAAGTTTACTTAAGATACGGATCACCTTTCATTAGTGGAAATAATCAAAATAATCAAGGTAAATAAAACACCTTATAAGTCACTTACAAATAACAATGACTAATTCTAGATCCTAATAAAAAGTACGCTTTTGGACTGTAAACAAATCATTGGAATATTTTTTATTACTAAATAACGTTTGGCAACTTATTTGATCTTTGCTCCCTCGGTATAGATACGAGAAATAAGTGAAGTAACATGGTATTCTGAAATGTTTTATCGCAGGAATGAGAACACTAGATGCTACTTAAAAATACATATTGATTAAGAATGATTACAGTCATAAACAAATATAGCTGATTGTGGAACCACCAAGTGAGTAAAACTGAAGATAAGTAAAAATACTAGAACGAATGCTGAGGTCATGAACCCTCAGCGCCTGCGTTGACCCATAACTAGCCACCACCTACGGGCTAGAATAGGAACAGGTTCGGAGACAGCTGAGCAGTTCAGAGAAATGCAGGATGAACGAAGTCCCCTTCTTTTTGTATATACCTTTAAATTAAGTGTTAATTCACACCTTGGATTCTTCGACATCACTTGTTCCTTTTGAATTATATTTATAGCGTTTAGTTTGCTACTGCAAGTGTTAATACAGTTTCGCATGTTCTGTTCTTAAACCTGATAGTTATATTCACTTTGTTGATGTGGACTGTGGGGACTTGGAGCATTGTAGCACACTAAAGTATTCATTAGTCATTTGAAAAAGTAGCAAAATCGGGCACTTCATAAAAACCAAGTCATTATTGAGGGTGGAATTAAGTAACACTAATATTATTAAACATCAACAAGCAAGTGTGGTAGAAAATCCATAACTAACCAGTTCAAAAATAAAACGTTAGGCAACTATAATATAAATAGACGTACCATCTACTCGAGCCGCATCGTACAAATCCTTCGTAGTGTAAGGATCATCTGTGGCAAACAGAGCTTCTACACCTGAGCGTAATAGTTCATCCATTTCTGAACGTGATAGCCGGCTTACTGATTTAGTATTCGATTGTGTTTGTGTTGATTCTGCAAGATTGGTATCTTGATCAGATCTGGAGACGCAATCTTGGTTAACTCTAGAGTTATCAAAATTTGAGTCTGTTTTTGGTGCGGTATTGTCTTGAGTCGAGTCATATTGACTTGATGCGGGAATCGAAGTTCCCAGTGCCTTTGGACGTTTCTGATTTTGATTGACAACTAACTGAGTAAGGGCAAGTTTACGCCTAGCCACCTGAGATATTTTCTCTTCAATACTGTGACGTGTTATGAACCGATAGATAACAACATGCCTAGACTGACCAATTCGATGAGCCCGAGAAAGCGCTTGTAAATCACACTGAGGATTCCAATCAGAATCATACAGCACGACCTTAAATTGAAAATAAAATAGAGAGTGTTGGACACATATGATTAATTGTAAAACGAGAATACAAACTTTTAGGGTCCCATACATATAGATTGGTCGCACGCATAGACCAATGAAACTACATCGTAAATTAAATATTAACCGCAACTACAAGGCGTAAATGATTGTAATATTAAACAAAACGATTGAATGATCGCATTCTAGATCTAATTTTCTTACTCGAATTCTTGTAATCACAATCAATCGAAAATGCTAAAGAACTTATCAGAAAGCAGGTTGACTTATTATACCACGATGTAGTGAAGGAGAACACAGGTGAGGACAACCAAATTGTCTTTAGCACAAAATTACAGAGTTACCTGGTAAAATAGAAAAACCATATAGTAAATCGTTAATTTGCAAAATATCAGTGCATCATATCAACCTGGACTGTCCTTGTTGCAAACATCAATCCATTGTCTCACATTTCATTGTTCACGCGTTTCCTTACCTATTGCATTGCGTTGTCGCTCTTCCTTTCTTGATCTTCCCCATTTTTTGCTGCCAGACATTGCGTTTTTAACTCGCGTGATATACTACTTACAGCGCTACAAGTAGCACGCACCACAACGATACGGTAGCGTAAGCGAACTGTACCACCGGGTACTTGACCAGATAAAGTTGAAGCGAAAGAAGCATTGGACAACTTGACAAACAGCATTACAAAGGTTCAACACAGCCTTCCTTAGAGATACTGACAAACTCAACGAATTCAGGATAGCTCTCAATAACAGGCACCAAGTCTTACAAGATATACTCAAAGAAGAAGAAACTACTATGTAGGACAACAGGAAAGCGACCAAAGAACCACTAACTTCAACGTGTCAGGAGGTACTAGACCGCAATAAGCATCATCATAAGGAATGGATCTCTATCGAAACCCTAGACAGCAATTAACAAAAGCCCAACAACAACAGAGAAAGTCAAGGCGAAAGTTGAATATACAGAAGCGAACAAGCAAGTGAAGGAGAGCATTAGAGCAGACGAGCAGAAATACGTGAAAGAGCTAGCAACGACAGTGGAAAAAGCTGAAAGAAAAGGGAATATAAAACAATTATATGACACAACGAAGAACCTGACATGGAAATATAGTAAACCAGAGAGACCGGTCAAAGACAGAGGAACAGATGGACCAGCTCCATTGAATCCACCCAGCATCGAAGAAGCACCTAAAGACCTTCCTATAGATGTCACTCCACCAACGATCAAAGACATCAGGATGGTCATCAGATAAATCAAGAGTGGGAAAGCAGCAGGACCTGACAATATACTGGCCGAAGCACTAAAGTCAGATATAGAAGTAACTGCAAAGATGCTCCATGTTATATTCCGGAGGATTTAGGAGGAAAAACAAGTGCCACTAACATACTGGAAAGAAGGATACCTCATCAAGATACCAAAGAAAGGGAATCTCAGCGAGAGTGAAAACCCCAGAACCATCACACTACTACCAGTACCAGAAAAAAATTTCAAGTGTTGCTGAATCGAAAGAAAGATTCACTAGACGTCCAGCTTTGAGATCAACAGGTTGGATTCCGTAAGCATCGGTCGCGCACAGACCAAATTACCACACTATGGATCATCGTTGAACAATCAATTGAATGAGACTCATCGCTATACATCAACTTCATTGATTACAAAAAAGCTTTGACAGTGTGGATAGGAAGACCCTTTGGAACATTCTTCAAAACACGGAGAATACCAACTTAAACACTTGATGGGAAAGGCGGAAAATTTCACGTAACTGGGCAGCATTCCTATAGTTGAAGTGCATAGGAGACATATTGAGGAAGTCATCAGATTGTATCACGAATCAATTGCTAACTATGAATTCTGAAGGGAAACGGAAAAGGGGAAGGCCAAAGAACACTGCATCGGGAATCGGAAGCAGGTATCAAAAGGATGAATAGCAACTGGTAAGGAATTCCCAATGCATAATTGGATGGAGAATGCTGGTAGACAACCTATGCTCCTCCACAAGGAGTAACAGGCGTAAGTAAGTAAGCATTAATTAGTCATGAAGAAATGGACAAGTAGTTTATACAGAGAAGTTTGAAAAGTAGATTTTCCAAGTGTCTGGAAAAACAGAGATCCATAAGCGAAAGCGATTTTCAGTTTAAATTTTATGGCATTTTTATAGATTACTTATGCATCCTTTCTTAATCTAAAATGTAGTTGGCACAGCATAACTCAACTCATTAATAAAACAACATAACTTATTTACGGAAATAGTGTAATACGACAATGAAAGTTGAAGAAACTTTGGATGTAAATGATCACCAATTATTGATTATTAAATTTTTAGGACAAAACTTCCACCATGATAGTGTCTGTAATGCAAAATATACATTCACCAACTCAAACTGATTACGATACAGACATCCACAAGGACTAATACGTCTATGAGTTCAGCATCAACAAAATACTTAAGTTGACCAATTAATATGCTAAACATGTCTCGAATAATGAAGAATTTCGAGTGCTAATTTTACTTTGAATGAAATAAACATCAAAAAATAAGAATTCACTAGTAGTAAATAATGAAGGTTTTCTTCAGTACTATTGTGGTATATGCTACTTATATTTGCAAATATAAGTAGCATGTAACACCGATCAGAAGTGAACTGAAGAAAATAGGAAGGAATTGAGGAGCGGACGAATCATGAAGGATGTAAAGGACAATTTATGGAGGATTCTCAAATGAAGTATTTCATGCATGGTTTGCACATTTTACCAAAAAACTCCGTAATTTTGCGTTAGATAGTAAATAGGTTATCCCCACCAAGTCTTCGTCTACTGCACTTTTATCCAACACACCTTGACTGGAAGTAAGGAAGAAAATGTGCTGAAATCCGACAGCCGACCAGAGAAATTCTGAATAGTTACTATTGTCAGTTTATATCAATTTGAAATACAGTTGATTACATAAACTATATTCAATTAATAATAAAAATAAGGTTACTCTAAAGTGGTAAATAATGATTTACTGTATCAGCTGAAGCAAGATTGATTCCTTCTCCACCCGCTCTAGTAGATAAAAGGAAAACGAAGAATTCCGAGTTGGGAGCATTGAAACGATCGATAGTAACCTGTCTTAAAGGACCTCGCACACGACCATCAATACGAACATATTTATACCTTTTGAAATAAAGAGAATGAAAGGTAATATTTCTATTCAGTGTACTACAATCAAAACGATTCTGGCACAACAGTACAGATTCATTTAACAATAAGACATTTTAAAACATTTGTTAAACGCTACATGTTTTACGCGTAAAACAATACGAATTCACTAATATTGCTACTTGGTTCTAACATGATAAAAATAATGGATATAGGAAAAAAGACAAATACATATTATAAAAAAAGCTCTCCAGTTTCATAACTCATGAAAGCTTGTAGTGGCTTAGCTAATGCACGCGAGCCATAGAATGCAGAGGTAAATTGAGAGTCAGATAGTCAATTAACAAGTTTCAAGCACATATATATGGGAAAGCGAATGTTTCATAGAGCGATATTTAAGCAATTGATACATAACCTAGAGAGACCAATACCTGCGTAGGCTGTCACATGTGACCTAGCAAACATGATCATACAGACATAATAATAATAATGCAGATAGATAGACAGACAAACAAATTGTTGCTGCGCGAATAACTGTCTGTTCAATAAGTTAATTGAAAGGCTTAACAAAATTTACCGAAAACGACCCGACCGTTGTTGCTACCTTGACGTGGTGGTCGGGCTTGCCTATCGTGATGAAGCAACCGAGCTATACTGGCTGGAACAACCGTTCCTCAAGGTCCTACCATGTCAGACAGGTCGGTTGAAGAGCGGTAAGACTAAAAGCAACAAACCCAAGGTCCGAAGGCGAAGTCGTACTGCTGACTGTACAGAGGTGTGACAGCAGTAAGGTGTTTCCTTCAGACAACCAGCATGACAGCGATGCTGCCTTCCCACAAGGAGGGGTGGGGTTAGAAAAGGTCGACCCTAAAAATGCACACCTCACCTTACCTCACGGATTTCCGTCTCCGGCGGTAAGGCCCTTTGAAGAACGGAGCTAACACGTCACAAACCTCCACGAAAAGGCCGTGCGCGACCGGCCTCAAGCAGTTGTCCCTTGGGCACTGCGGTCACGCTCTCAGGTCACTGAGACCACCTCTAATCCAATTTCCTTTTCAGGTACCTCCAGAAGAACCCTTCCACGGTGTGGGCAACCGGGAAGTGATAACCGCCCTCATACCTCTAACAGCACTCAAGACCACTGTATTCATAATCAACCTCCTCTTCAATTCCTATTATTCCTCCTACATCGACTTTCAACTCTAAACTTCCTTTTCGGCTTCCTCCTCAAGTGTCACCATAGCCAACGATTCTAGTGCTCAAAACACTGTCCCAGGTCTACTGAAACCTCGCTCCAAACTACACATTGGAGCCTTCAACGTACGCACCCTATGTCAAATCGGTCAGCAGGCTTCCTTGGCTAAAACCCTAGAGTCTCTTTCCATTGATGTATGCTGTGTCTCCGAAACACGCATACAGGATTCCAGTGTGGTCATTCACTTGACCTCACCTCGGCAAAACGGAGAGCCAACGAGATACACCCTCGTGTATCTGGTGACCCGATGGCCAGTTCTCGTGGACTGGCAGGTGTAGGCATAGCACTAAGCATGAGGGGGAACAAGCACTGCTAGAGTGGATCCCCGTCAACAGTCGTCTATGTGCTGTTCGGCTAAACGGCTCCGTAAGAACTCGGAAGGATAGGGACACACGTCGTTGCCTTTTTGTCGTTTCTGCCTACGCTCCCACTGACTGCAGCTCAGATGAAGTGAAAGATGAATTTTACAGAAAGCTTCTGAACTTCTTCAGAAAGCTAAACGCTCAGACATAGTACTCGTAGGGGTGACTTTAATGCTCAGATAGGTAGTTTAAACCAAACAGAAAGGCATTTAGGTGGATATTTTAGCATTCCGGCACAGCGAACAGATAATGGTGATCGTCTGCTGCAACTGTGCTCAGACAATCGTTTATTTTTAGCAAACACAAATTTTAAGCATAAGGAGAGACATCGTCTAACATGGCGACCCCCTACACCAAACCAACGATGGACTCAAATAGACCATATTGCCATCAGTCATCGTTGGAGAGGGTCGGTAGAAGATTGTCGCTCATTCTGGAGTACCTGCTTGGACTCCGACCATGCCCTAATACGGGCACGCATCTGCTTGCGCCTCACTGGACGCAAAAAAGCCACATTAAAAAGACCCATTAGAACTGAGTTGAGTAACGAGAAAACCAAAAGTAGGTTCCAGGAACAACTGAGGTCACACTTAGGTAGTTCTGAAGACGAGGCTGACCCAGATGTTGCTTGGAAAGACATACAAGCAGCTGTGGAAACAGCAGTGACATCTATTAGCGACTTAAACCACAGAGTTACAAAGAACCAGTGGATTTCTTCAAAGTCTATCACACTGATGGATTCTCGCAAACTCGTCCCATCAGGTTCCGAACATGATGAAGAGCGACAACAAATCAGATCTAGGTTAAGAAAAAGTCTAAGAAACGACCGTGAGCAGTGGTGGGCAACGAAAGCAAAAGAGATGGAAAAGGCGGCGACTATAGGGAACACAAGACAGCTTTACAGACTAATAAAAGAAACTGGAATTAATAAGTCAAGTGTAAGTGAGATTATTTCGGAAAAAGCGATACTCTCATCTGCTCCCAGTCCAGACGTTTAGAACGATGGGCGGAACATTTCAGAGAACAGTTCAGCTGGCCTTCAGCTACTCTACAACTACCCTCCATTCCCAGACAGCGTGAATGGAACATTGAAGTAGGTCCCCCAACTCTTGCTGAAGTTCAAAAGGCTATAGTTAATCTGAAACGAGGAAGGGCAGCTGGTCCAGATGGACTGGCTCCAGAGGTCTTTAAGGATGGTGGTCCAATTTTAGCGATTAGGTTGACTAATATTTTAGCTAAGATCTGGGAGTTAGACGTTATCCCATCTGACTGGTCACAATCACTTATCGTCCCAATATATAAGAAAGGGTCAAAATCATCCTGTGACAACCACAGAGGGATTAGTTTAACTAATATAATATCTAAAATACTAGCCTCGATAATTATCAGACGCCTAACTAAGACTCGTGAACTGCAAACACGAGAGAACCAAGCTGGCTTTAGACCTGGTCGTGGCTGCATCGACCACATATTCACCATTCGTCAGATTCTAGAACACAGGCATACTTATCGGCGTCCGACAATGGTGGTCTTTCTCGACTTAAAAGCAGCATTTGACTCTGTAGACCGCGAGATTCTGTGGCAGTGTCTGTCATTGAAAGGCGTACCCCAGAAGTACATAAACCTTGTGAAGGCTCTTTACTCGAACACTACTAGTCGAGTCAGAGCTTATGGCGAACTGTCATCTACCTTTGCAACCTCAAGTGGTGTCCGTCAAGGCTGTCCACTTTCCCCATTTTTGTTTAACTTCATCATAGATCTACTGATGGAAATAACTTTCTCGTCGACTGAATTCTCGGGTATTGATCTCCATCCAGGAGGTCCACTTATCGACTTAGAATACGCAGATGACATAGTCCTGTTTGGTGAAGACGCTGACAAAATGCAGAGTCTTCTGGTAGCACTAAGCAACAATGCCAGAATGTTTGGAATGCGCTTCTCTCCCTCTAAATGCAAGTTGTTGCTTCAGGACTGGTCTGCGTCAACACCTGAACTAAGGATAGGGAGTGAAGTAGTCGAACGCGTTGACAACTTCACTTATCTTGGAAGTCTGATCAGCCCTAATGGGTTGGTGTCTGACGAAATCTCAGCACGGATTCGAAAAGCTCGTTTGGCTTTTGCCAACTTACGTCACCTTGGCGAAGGCGAGATATCCGTCTATCAATAAAAGGACGAGTATACTGCGCGGCAGTCCGTTCTGTTTTAATTTACGGCAGCGAAACATGGCCATTAAGAGTAGAAGACACTCGTAAGCTACTAGTATTTGACCACAGATGCCTTAGAAATATTGCTGGCGTCTGCTGGGATCACCGGGTAAGTAATAGTGAGGTTAGACGCAGGGTATTAGGGAATGATGGTAAATCAGTTGATGAGGTTATGAATCTTCATCGACTGAGATGGTTGGGCCACGTGTTACGTATGCCTGAACACCGATTACCACGACGTGCAATGCTATCCGGTATTGGAGATGGTTGGAAGAAAGTTAGGGGCGGCCAAACCAAAACGTGGCATCAGTGCTTGAAGTCACTAACTTCTAGTCTGAGCCATGTTGGTAGATGCAGACTACTTGGTTGGGGTCCGCGTGACTATCGTAACCAATGGTTGGAGACTCTTGGTGACATGGCTCAGAATCGATCACAATGGCGTAGGTGTATATACTCCCTGTCTTCCCTTAAACTAAGAGATTAAAATCACTTCATATCTTTCTTTCTACGAACCAATTCTTTCTTCTTGTATTATATCTCTATATGCAATCTTTCTCTTATATATTACCACCTTTGACCTAACCACTCCTATGAATCCGGTGTTCATCTTGCTGTGCTAATGAAGTATGGTAACCTGGACCGATGCACATATGTGCCTGGTCCTACGTTGTAGCTGATTGACTGACTGACTGACCGTAAACAAACTTAAGTATAGGAGAGTTTATATAACCTGACCTTCTTAAAACAATTCAATCATGATCAAAAGATTTACAAGACAACCATTATATTTATTAACTATAAAACCAAATATTCAATGATTCACCTCCCCTCCCATCTAACCTGTTTGGTTTTTTTTCACCATGGTTCATTCTACTTTATTATGTGAGTTATTTAGGACTAAAATGTTCAGTTAGTAACATGAAATACTAACTAGTTATTTGGGTTAACACCATTGTGGTGTGTGCTACTGACATTGACATAGGTAGTATATGACGTTACTCGTGAACAGGTCTGGCAGCAGAGAGACAAGAGGATCCAACAGTAAAGATTGGGAACAGAATGCAATTTGTATGAAAATGCAAGAACAATGAAGTCTGAGTCATTATGAGACAATTGATGGACATTTTGCAAATTACGTATTTACCATTTGATTGTTAGATTTTATTAACAAGTCCTGTAATTCTGTGCTAAATACATTCGATTGACCCACCCGTGTTCTGTTCACTACAACATAACTTTAATTACACCGTACATAAAGACATAAATACAACACATTTCTTCAATAGTTGTTCCGGAACTGTAGTACATTATATATATATATATATATATATATATATATATATATCACCTAAATAACTAATATTCGACGAGTAGTTTGTAGAGTTCAAATTTTGCTTGAAATCTATAATAGAATGGAACTTTTGATCTCTCATTCTTACCGTCAACACAATACGAAATTAAAATCTACTTGTGTAGCAACTGATCCGATATTAACATAGTAAACCTTTTTTCCATTGCGGAAGGTCTAACGTCTCAAACAAAAAACATCTACATTAGTGTTAAACTTTGATCGTGTTATTTTTATTAGTCAATAACTTTACAACTTAAAAGAACATTTCAAAACTTGGTAACATGGTAACCTAGTGCCAATCGAACCACACAAAGTCAACAAGGGTTTTAAAAAATAATGTTATTTCAACATCTGCTGAGATATAAATTAATTTACTTGGTAAACATCAAATTCTTGGCACAGTTAAAAACACAGTAAAGTTGATTAGGTTGGATAAACTGGAAATTTGATAAATTCTAATTTTAGAATATCGAATGAGTTGGTTAAAAAAGTTAAAATATATATTATTTTTTAAAAGAAAACACTTACCTGGCATTAGTCAAAACCTCTTCCAATAAATCCAACATCATTGTGAAGCGGGAAAAAATCAATACTCGATGATCATCAACAAACAATCCACGAAGTAATTCCATTAATACAACCAATTTACTGCTAACTTGTACCAAAGCTCTAGGTTCGTATGGCCCATTTGTTTCGTCGTTTGAGTTTAAGCGTGGTGCAATAGCATCTCCAACTTGCATCAAATATGGATGATTACACACCTTTTGCAAATGCATAATACTATTCGTTAGATTTCCACATCGTAATTCCTCATAATTATTTGTTAGAATATATTTATAAAGACGTCTACAAAAACAAACCAACATATATATCTATATCTATATATTGATTAGCGTGAGACAATGATGCAATGATATTTAAAGACTGTAATTTAAAAAGGACCATAAAAGTATTAAACATGAGACTAAACTAAAAAAAATCACTCACCTCTGAAGTAAAGTCATATCAACTGGAACAATAATTTCAGTTTTCTTTGGTAAATCTTGGATTACATCGCACTTTAATCGCCTTAATAAATGATGCTTGAGTAAATCGTGGAGATGTTTAATACGATCAGCTTTTGGCATTTCAGCCCATTGTTCACTTAGTGCTCGAAAATCACTTTACATTAGGAATAATAAATAAAGAGTAAATACTATGTGACCGTTAGAACAGAAAGCATGAAGAAATAAAAATAATTTTAGAAAGATAAAATATAATGATTACTATAATGGGATAAAATCTATAAGTCAGCATTATCTGTGAAAAAATAATCATCAGTTACTCTGATAAACTTATTATTCACTAGAATCCAAAATTTATTCATCGCCAATACGGTTTTGTCTACTTATCTTCATTCAGAGAAGCATAAAAAACATGTAGAACCATTATGGCGATATTCAAAAACATTCTAAAGTTTCTTAATACTAATAAATAAACATAATGAGATTGAGCATATGTACTAAGAGTAAATCCAGTTTTTAAGAATGTAGTTCAAAGTCAAAAACTTCGAGAATAATGTAATGTGTATTTCGATCCACTAAAATAAACTTTAACACAATAATTTTCTTAAAATCTATGAAAGCCAAGTTTTAGCGCAGATTTATTTTCTAAGTGTATACGGCAAATTGGAAAAATAATTGAAACTAATTGGTACAAAGCCCAAGAATCAGGCCTGATGATCAAGTCTTAAATCATTGGGAAGTAAGTGACCTACAAAATCGTTTTTTCTAATTCCCCATGACACTTTAGCATGTTGATTTTGTCTTAATATGTTTTAAATAAGTATATAATATTGTATGGAAAACATATAATTCTGGCTAGTAGTCTTATCTTTGACTCCAAATCATTTCGAGTCAGTCAGTCAGTCAATCAGCTACAACGTAGGACCAGGCACATATGTGCATCGGTCCAGGTTACCATACTTCATTAGCACAGCAAGATGAACACCGGATTCATAGGAGTGGTTAGGTCAAAGGTGGTAATATATAAGAGAAAGATTGCATATAGAGATATAATACAAGAAGAAAGAATTGGTTCGTAGAAAGAAAGATATGAAGTGATTTTAATCTCTTAGTTTAAGGGAAGACAGGGAGTGTATACACCGACGCCATTGTGATCGATTCTGAGCCATGTCACCAAGAGTCTCCAACCATTGGTTACGATAGTCACGCGGACCCCAACCAAGTAGTCTGCATCTACCAACATGGCTCAGACTAGAAGTTAGTGACTTCAAGCACTGATGCCACGTTTTGGTTTGGCCGCCCCTAACTTTCTTCCAACCATCTCCAATACCGGATAGCATTGCACGTCGTGGTAATCGGTGTTCAGGCATACGTAACACGTGGCCCAACCATCTCAGTCGATGAAGATTCATAACCTCATCAACTGATTTACCATCATTCCCTAATACCCTGCGTCTAACCTCACTATTACTTACCCGGTGATCCCAGCAGACGCCAGCAATATTTCTAAGGCATCTGTGGTCAAATACTAATAGCTTACGAGTGTCTTCTACTCTTAATGGCCATGTTTCGCTGCCGTAAATTAAAACAGAACGGACTGCCGCGCAGTATACTCGTCCTTTTATTGATAGACGGATATCTCGCCTTCGCCAAGGTGACGTAAGTTGGCAAAAGCCAAACGAGCTTTTCGAATCCGTGCTGAGATTTCGTCCGATACCAACCCATTAGGGCTGATCAGACTTCCAAGATAAGTGAAGTTGTCAACGCGTTCGACTACTTCACTCCCTATCCTTAGTTCAGGTGTTGACGCAGACCAGTCCTGAAGCAACAACTTGCATTTAGAGGGAGAGAAGCGCATTCCAAACATTCTGGCATTGTTGCTTAGTGCTACCAGAAGACTCTGCATTTTGTCAGCGTCTTCACCAAACAGGACTATGTCATCTGCGTATTCTAAGTCGATAAGTGGACCTCCTGGATGGAGATCAATACCCGAGAACTCAGTCGACGAGAAAGTTATTTCCATCAGTAGATCTATGATGAAGTTAAACAAAAATGGGGAAAGTGGACAGCCTTGACGGACACCACTTGAGGTTGCAAAGGTAGATGACAGTTCGCCATAAGCTCTGACTCGACTAGTAGTGTTCGAGTAAAGAGCCTTTACAAGGTTTATGTACTTCTGGGGTACGCCTTTCAATGACAGACACTGCCACAGAATCTCGCGGTCTACAGAGTCAAATGCTGCTTTTAAGTCGAGAAAGACCACCATTGTCGGACGCCGATAAGTATGCCTGTGTTCTAGAATCTGACGAATGGTGAATATGTGGTCGATGCAGCCACGACCAGGTCTAAAGCCAGCTTGGTTCTCTCGTGTTTGCAGTTCACGAGTCTTAGTTAGGCGTCTGATAATTATCGAGGCTAGTATTTTAGATATTATATTAGTTAAACTAATCCCTCTGTGGTTGTCACAGGATGATTTTGACCCTTTCTTATATATTGGGACGATAAGTGATTGTGACCAGTCAGATGGGATAACGTCTAACTCCCAGATTTTAGCTAAAATATTAGTCAACCTAATCGCTAAAATTGGACCACCATCCTTAAAGACCTCTGGAGCCAGTCCATCTGGACCAGCTGCCCTTCCTCGTTTCAGATTAACTATAGCCTTTTGAACTTCAGCAAGAGTTGGGGGACCTACTTCAATGTTCCATTCACGCTGTCTGGGAATGGAGGGTAGTTGTAGAGTAGCTGAAGGCCAGCTGAACTGTTCTCTGAAATGTTCCGCCCATCGTTCTAAACGTCTGGACTGGGAGCAGATGAGAGTATCGCCTTTTTCCGAAATAATCTCACTTACACTTGACTTATTAATTCCAGTTTCTTTTATTAGTCTGTAAAGCTGTCTTGTGTTCCCTATAGTCGCCGCCTTTTCCATCTCTTTTGCTTTCGTTGCCCACCACTGCTCACGGTCGTTTCTTAGACTTTTTCTTAACCTAGATCTGATTTGTTGTCGCTCTTCATCATGTTCGGAACCTGATGGGACGAGTTTGCGAGAATCCATCAGTGTGATAGACTTTGAAGAAATCCACTGGTTTTTTGTAACTCTGTGGTTTAAGTCGCTAATAGATGTCACTGCTGTTTCCACAGCTGCTTGTATGTCTTTCCAAGCAACATCTGGGTCAGCCTCGTCTTCAGAACTACCTAAGTGTGACCTCAGTTGTTCCTGGAACCTACTTTTGGTTTTCTCGTTACTCAACTCAGTTCTAATGGGTCTTTTTAATGTGGCTTTTTTGCGTCCAGTGAGGCGCAAGCAGATGCGTGCCCGTATTAGGGCATGGTCGGAGTCCAAGCAGGTACTCCAGAATGAGCGACAATCTTCTACCGACCCTCTCCAACGATGACTGATGGCAATATGGTCTATTTGAGTCCATCGTTGGTTTGGTGTAGGGGGTCGCCATGTTAGACGATGTCTCTCCTTATGCTTAAAATTTGTGTTTGCTAAAAATAAACGATTGTCTGAGCACAGTTGCAGCAGACGATCACCATTATCTGTTCGCTGTGCCGGAATGCTAAAATATCCACCTAAATGCCTTTCTGTTTGGTTTAAACTACCTATCTGAGCATTAAAGTCACCCCCTACGAGTACTATGTCTGAGCGTTTAGCTTTCTGAAGAAGTTCGGAAGCTTTCTGTAAAATTCATCTTTCACTTCATCTGAGCTGCAGTCAGTGGGAGCGTAGGCAGAAACGACAAAAAGGCAACGACGTGTGTCCCTATCCTTCCGAGTTCTTACGGAGCCGTTTAGCCGAACAGCACATAGACGACTGTTGACGGGGATCCACTCTAGCAGTGCTTGTTCCGCCCTCATGCTTAGTGCTATGCCTACACCTGCCAGTCCACGAGAACTGGCCATCGGGTCACCAGATACACGAAGGGTGTATCTCGTTGGCTCTCCGTTTTGCCGAGGTGAGGTCAAGTGAATGACCACACTGGAATCCTGTATGCGTGTTTCGGAGACACAGCATACATCAATGGAAAGAGACTCTAGGGTTTTAGCCAAGGAAGCCTGCTGACCGATTTGACATAGGGTGCGTACGTTGAAGGCTCCAATGTGTAGTTTGGAGCGAGGTTTCAGTAGACCTGGGACAGTGTTTTGAGCACTAGAATCGTTGGCTATGGTGACACTTGAGGAGGAAGCCGAAAAGGAAGTTTAGAGTTGAAAGTCGATGTAGGAGGAATAATAGGAATTGAAGAGGAGGTTGATTATGAATACAGTGGTCTTGAGTGCTGTTAGAGGTATGAGGGCGGTTATCACTTCCCGGTTGCCCACACCGTGGAAGGGTTCTTCTGGAGGTACCTGAAAAGGAAATTGGATTAGAGGTGGTCTCAGTGACCTGAGAGCGTGACCGCAGTGCCCAAGGGACAACTGCTTGAGGCCGGTCGCGCACGGCCTTTTCGTGGAGGTTTGTGACGTGTTAGCTCCGTTCTTCAAAGGGCCTTACCGCCGGAGACGGAAATCCGTGAGGTAAGGTGAGGTGTGCATTTTTAGGGTCGACCTTTTCTAACCCCACCCCTCCTTGTGGGAAGGCAGCATCGCTGTCATGCTGGTTGTCTGAAGGAAACACCTTACTGCTGTCACACCTCTGTACAGTCAGCAGTACGACTTCGCCTTCGGACCTTGGGTTTGTTGCTTTTAGTCTTACCGCTCTTCAACCGACCTGTCTGACATGGTAGGACCTTGAGGAACGGTTGTTCCAGCCAGTATAGCTCGGTTGCTTCATCACGATAGGCAAGCCCGACCACCACGTCAAGGTAGCAACAACGGTCGGGAAATCATTTAGAGGCTTAATTCAAAAGATGGGTCTAGTGAGCATCCATCAGTTAGTCACAATTTGTACCATTGTTTATTACCTATCATGCAGTGTTCTTTTCTGCATTTGAACAATCGATAATTCATTTGTCAAAGCACTAAAATCCTACTCTGGAACCCTAATATTAAGAGAAATATCAGTTAGTTTAGGTATGAACATGAATGGGAACATATGAATAAATAATGTCTGACAGTAGAAGACAATGGTTTCAGCATATATGACGAATAAACCAATTGAGACGGAAACCACTAGGCTAAACCGAAGAAATGATTTTTTAGAAGATTTGGTGTCATTTAGTGGATAATTGTGGTCGATTGGGCTTCTTATTGACATTTCTGTGTTCTCAAACATCATCCATCAAATTCAGAAATGTGGATATCTTCTACTTCAAGGAGAACCATAACAGCAGTTCACATAAATAACGAAAATAAAGATCATATATCTTAAATAAGGAAGAAAACTCACGTGAATTTTTTCGGTTCAACAAAATTTAATAGATGAAATAATTCTTCTAAATTGTTTTGTAATGGCGTTCCAGTTAAGAGGATTTTAAAGTTAGTATGATACTGACTAGTATCTTTGAAAAACTACGAAGTGAAAATAAAAAAACAATTCAGTGATGCACAATACAGAAGGTCGAATAACAGGAGTGCATAATTTTTACTACTTATAATCCACTTGTATGATGGAAATGTTTGACATTTTCACTAATCAACTTTCTGTAGTTTACCATAAGATGAAGGATGTAAAAACTCATAACTATATAGGGATTTAGTGTGACCCAATGCGAAATTCCCGTATGTGATAAAATTTATCGGTTTTTGATGTTAATAAATTTGCAGCTACATGGTATTTTTCCAGAGCTTTCATTCTCATTATAGACATTAACAGACTTTACTTTATGTAGTAGGTTCTAATGATGTCAAAAACGACAATGAAAGTTATGCAATCAAACCATCTACTTCAAAGACAAAAAACATCAAAAGTAATCACCTGGGATACAAATCTTCCTCATCAGTACAAAATTTATGTTTTGCTTAAGATTCAGACTTCACCATCATCTACCTAAATGATTAACGATCGAATGCTTGTTAACGACGTGTATTATAGGTAATTTATTGAAGACATATCTCTACTATTGATACTCAAAAATAGTGCTTTCATATCGTGAAGTGGCTGATTTTAGGAAATCAAACCCCTGAAAATTGAGCCAGTGATCAGAAGGAAAGCTGATTGCCCAGAGATTTCAGGGCTGTTAGTCTATTCTTAATAAAGCTACTCAAAGTTTCAAACTGGTTATTGTTGCATTTTTTAATATATTGTATAAATAAAGGAAATGGACACACAGTAATTGCTTTACGTACACGAGACTGTTTATTTTTCAGACGGTGAGCTTCATCCACAACTAAAACACTCCAATCAAAACTCTTCAAAAATGAACGATCAATACAAGCTAATTCATGACTGGTGATCAGTACATGGAACGCAGGTATTCCTCCAGCATTTCGTAAACGAAATTCATATTCTCTAAAGAAAAAATTGATTAGTTAGACAACAGAGAGTAGTTGAGAAATATTTAAGCAATGAGTTTATTAGTGTCAGATATCCACGAATAAAATGGAAAAACTGACGAATTAATAAAGGTACTATACTTTATTTTAGGGCAATGATTCTTAGCGAATATTTTAACTTTAAGCACAAAGTTAACTTTTATAGACGAAAAGAACCTGAATCAAGATTATTTTAAAGTGACCACATAATTAAAAAACAGCCAACCTCAATAGTTGCATAAGAGAAACAAGAAAAATCGTTTCTTTAAACTAAAACTCGCAGACAGCGTACATTCACAAACTTTGAAAGAAATAGAAAAAATACTTTTTATACTCAACTAATGTATTTCCTGATCCACTCAAATTTGCATATAATCTCAACATCGCTTTTTATGCGATGTAGACTAGCAAACACCAAGCGCAGCTTCTGTATTCCAGATGAAAATTCAGTAGTAAGCATCTATTCAGAACTAACACAGCCTAAATGATTTCGCTTCACATTCCTAAACTAGGTACCATTGCAGAAGGATCAAGAACAGCATTTCGTATGTGACAGATCCAAAACGCATGGTGAGAATTTTCAGGGTGCCCTTCAAAAATTTCAGAAGACTATGAATGTAACGTCTTAGATTAATAGAATCATTTTATTAACATGCTTCAGATTAAGCACAAGAACTGTGGGTCAATTACAAGTGTGTCAGTGAAAAGGCTCAACAAGAAGAGTTAGTTTGGATATTTTTAGTCAGTCAGCTACAACGTAGGACCAGGCACATATGTGCATCGGTCCAGGTTACCATACTTCATTAGCACAGCAAGATGAACACCGGATTCATAGGAGTGGTTAGGTCAAAGGTGGTAATATATAAGAGAAAGATTGCATATAGAGATATAATACAAGAAGAAAGAATTGGTTCGTAGAAAGAAAGATATGAAGTGATTTTAATCTCTTAGTTTAAGGGAAGACAGGGAGTATATACACCTACGCCATTGTGATCGATTCTGAGCCATGTCACCAAGAGTCTCTAACCATTGGTTACGATAGTCACGCGGACCCCAACCAAGTAGTCTGCATCTACCAACATGGCTCAGACTAGAAGTTAGTAACTTCAAAGACTGGTGCCATGCTATGGTTGGGTCGCCCCTTACTTTCTTCCGAACGTTTCCAACACTTGTCAGTATTGCGCGTCGTGGTACACGGATATTCTTAGTGGATAACGCTTGTTGTGGGGTGTTTTTCATGATAATTTTTTAAATGGGTAATTAGAAAATATTACCTTCAGTAGAAAAATATGTATCTTCTGACACTACTTTTAGACATTGAGATAATACTGTGATTTCATAGATATTTCAAAAGTATAATACACATACTTACTGAGACACCGAAAATTGCACACAAACTCACCGAAGCAATGCACGAACTTGTTTGTCGCCACTGTAAACAACGATGTAAAAATCAGGTGCCCAAATCGAAAATTCCCTCTCCCAATTTTGTAACGTGGACAGAGGCGCCATTATGATAAATGGTCCATAATCATTCTCCTAAATAAAACCCAAATTACCGATAGTGAAGACGCAGTTTGACAATCTATCTGTATTTTTACAAATAAAGGTAGCAAGTATTTAAATTCGATTTTATCGGATCCAAATGTTCGAATACTACTTATTATTATTACATGAGTGAAATGCAATAAAATAAGTCACGATCATTGGTACTAGGAAATGAGCAGATTTCAAAACCAAATGCAATTCATTATTGGGTTATTTCACAACATAGGAAACATCCATCCACGATAGCAAGTTTTGTCGATTGGATGGTGAAATCTAGACATCAAGTGGTCGTTTTCTTTTAAGTACCTTATGAAATAGATTTTACTAAAATATAGAAATAACTATTTCCATTGAAGTACTGATGCTTAAGTTATTGTGGAATAAAATATTATTATTATTGCTCAAAACCTCAATCCTCGTCTGATAAGATTTAAGTTATCTAAAAAAGTCTATTTGAACTGCTAAGATATGTGGGCTATCCTAAGATTAACTTCAAGAAGCTTAAGTTTTGTTTTATTGCAAGGGTCACGCTAAACATTCGCATAATTAACCATGAAGTTGGACTGTAGTTATCATTAATTGAGGAACTAATTACATCTTTTATGTTCTCCATTTCTTTATTTTAGTCTGGAATATTAACCGCTCAAATGGGTCACTATTCATTCTAATAACAATATACATTGTGAAACTTTCTGCCCCTGTTAACTGTTTATTACTTGATGTTCACTTAGAGAAAACCAAAAGCATTCCACTGAGGCTAAATGAAGCAACTGTCGTACTCATCTTCACGTAACGTATATAATAATCCACTAACAATTGCGACGAAAACACTGACATTATAGTGTGGAAAATGCATGAGAAGCTGGAGCAGAAGTACGGAGAATAGTTAATTACTATCCCATTGAACTGGATGAATAATGAAAGGTACTGCATGACATTTTACAACGACAGATGCATTTTAAGATCCCAAGTACGAAACGAAACCTAAAATTACAAACCAGCATTAGGTTGTTTTTATCAGTAATCCTTTTATTGTTTCTTGGTAAAATAACATATAACCAAGTATAGCAAAGAAGAAATAACCACCACATACTTCCTTCCACAGTGAATATAGTAAAGCTATCACTTGTACAGTTTTGCCCAGGCCCATTTCATCTGCCAGAATAGCATTGATATTATTATGATATGCATGCCATAACCATCTCACACCTTCTACTTGATAAGGATGAAGAACTCTGTGGTGAATTGGGGACAAATAAGAAGGTTGTTCATCGATCCATTTTGACTAGATCAAATGAGAAACGAAGTTAATAACTCTACATAATATCCAGAACAACATCTCGTATCATATAAGACAAAACGGACCCGCAAGAAGGTCACATAAGAGAATTCACTTATTTAAATTCACCAATTTTCCTAGGATCATTTCTAATCAACAATTTTATATTTAGAAAAAACTACAGAATATTCAACAAATGTGGGATATGTGAGGCTACAGCTTAGTCCTTTCAAATCATCTTAAGTGGGATGCATAACAATAGGCATCATACGTAGTCTTGTAGAGATGAAGGACTACTGGAATAAGGTAATTTACTTAAAAGTGCACGTTAACATCCTCAGATTTGACCTACAGTGGTTAAATGAGTACTAGAAAATAAGTAGCTGTCTAAAACGAAGTGCAGAAGATATAAGTATGTAACAAAATAAAGAACATACTTTCCAATTTCCCGTACTTCTATTCTTTCTTCCCGGTGTAAGTTGATTTCCGTATACATCACATAGTATGGTCGCAACACGAGAGCAATATTTATCAGCTAGCCTAATGATATGTCGCCTCACTAGACGTGGTAATAAATTGCGTCCGCAAGGATCAAGAACTTTGTATGCACTTTTTTTACTTTTATGATCAACTCCATGAGAGTTCAAACTCAATATATCTGATTCAACTGTCTCCCACGTTGCATGAATATACGGCAAATGCAACCACTTGACAAGGACTTCTCTATATTCTGGCCACTTCATTGTATTAGGTGGTCGATTAGATTTGTCTTTGCTGTCTATTCCCTCAACCTTTTTAAACCTTTCAGGAGTGAATGAATCCCCAACAGCTAAAACACGTTCAGGAATAAGTGTGTGACTTTCGACACCCCATCGTAGAAGATAGCGACGACGTGAACCAGCACGTTTCGGATAATTAGCAATCCACCTTTGCAAACAGAAAGTAGAAAAATACATTGTTTCTGCAACAGGAAATTCAAATAAGCAAGTTAAAGATATCTAAGTAAATCCTAAAACATATAAGGTACAATAACGACGATCATTGTGTATTTTCTGTTACAAATGAAAGTGGAAACAACTACATTACTTTAATATACTATTAGCAATCACAGTAGTTGAGAATTTATTAGCTTACAAATTGGCTAGGAACAATATAAACAGATTATTGATATACTTTTATGCAATGATAATTCATTAATTACGAAAATATTTACGGGGTATATATAACTTATGCAAGGTAATTTTGTTATAGGAAAAATCGAGTTAGTAAATTCTTCGACAACACTGAATAAATTAATTACATCAAAGGAGGTCCCTTGAGCACTAAGGATCTGTTATAAATCGCTTTTCTTACGGTTATGACCCAGCTATTCCTATTGCTTAGTATCCTTGGACACCGATTCACTCGACAAGACCCCAAATCAGAACACGGTTGAACAGGAAAGAGATTATATTCCAAATAGCAAGTCAGAAGCACAATAGGGAAAACGTCAGTATATTTATAGTTTTTACATAAGAAGATTCCAGAGTGTTCTCCAACTATCGGCTAGTGCTGATTGGTTAAGAATCAGCCAATAAGCGTGCACCAAAGCAATCATGCATTGAGCATGCTTTAATCTAGTCTATGTCCCGCTAACACCTCCCCTTTGAGCAGATTCGTAGGATCTGGTGCTAGGGTCCAACTGCAACCGAGTGACTGGCCTGTGCTTTCGATTAGTCCATCGTCTAGGCAATAGAGAAGTATCACTCTTTTCTTGCACAGAAACTGACGTGTCTATTCACACGTGATATCTGATGCCGTGTCAATTTGAAGACGAGCTGATATGCCGTTTATCTGGATGGTAACATATTTTCTCCGAATGTCATAGTTTGTTTGAAAGGCAGCTACCAGAGAAAGAGATTTCGACTCAGCTGATTTCACATGTCGAGGACGTTTATGCTTCTTCTTAGGCTGAGACGTACGCTTCGGTGGACAATGACCTTCTTTATGTCCACGTTTGTTGCACGCCTGACATTTATGCTTCTTGAACGGACAGAATCGTGCATAATGCCAATCACCGCATAACCAGCATGCAGTCCTTGGTTTGTTACGAGTTGTTACCGGCTTCTGAACTTTTAACCTAGTAATAGTATTTACACTACCGCAGGTTAAATTAGGATTTACCTGTTCAATCAACTCGTTGTCGTGTCTGATGCTTTGTAGACGCTTACACTCATCTGTCAATGTTCTGAGTGTGACGTTTGGGTCTTGATCCAGTCGAGCCAAAAGTCTAGTCCTGATTTCAGCATCTTGTGGTGACTGAAGAGCTTTGATGAATATTAAGCATTTAAATTGGTCATCAGTCAACGAGCGTAACTTGAAACGTTCACATTCTCTGTTGACAATGTCTGCTAGAACACCATATTCATCAGCTTCGCGTTTCACCAAATTTAGACACCGATATCGAATACTAAACAACGAGGATGACTCGCCGAATATCTCTGACAACTGAAATACCGTCTCCTCGAAACTGAGCTCTCGAGGTAACTTTGGCAATATATGGTCAGCAAAACGTGCATGTTCGTTGCTTCCCAACTTACGTACCAACAATCGGGTCTTCCACGCATCGTCTTGATTACAGAATTCTGTTCTAAATGTATCTTCCCAACGTCTGAACCACGTGAGAAAAGTATTTCCATTTTCGGGATCATAGATGAATTCTGGGATGCTGCTAGCAACTGCATCACAAGACGAACTTGAAATAGCGTGTGAACTCGAGCTGTGGATGTTGAGCTGTTGAGTCAGAGTCTCCAACAACCGCATTTGTGCATCAAGTTGTGCTTGCTGTTGTTGTAGTATTCGGTTAAGCTGGTCATCTGATATGGGCATCTTGAATTTGTTTTCCTCTTTCCCCATCGCCACTGTTATAAATCGCTTTTCTTACGGTTATGACCCAGCTATTCCTATTGCTTAGTATCCTTGGACACCGATTCACTCGACAAGACCCCAAATCAGAACACGGTTGAACAGGAAAGAGATTATATTCCAAATAGCAAGTCAGAAGCACAATAGGGAAAACGTCAGTATATTTATAGTTTTTACATAAGAAGATTCCAGAGTGTTCTCCAACTATCGGCTAGTGCTGATTGGTTAAGAATTAGCCAATAAGCGTGCACCAAAGCAATCATGCATTGAGCATGCTTTAATCTAGTCTATGTCCCGCTAACAGGATCAGAATAAATAAGGTTCAATATGATAAATACACTAAGTGATACGCACCCACTAGCGAATATAAACCAGAATTAAGTGAAAACTATAAAGGGGGAATAGCATAAAACTGATAGCCACTCCACACTTGAATTAGGTGCACAGATAGCTTAAACAGTAACTTTGGAAAAGACTATACTCTGAAAAACTAAATCAAATCAACAAAAGAAGTTATTTGGAGAATAAAGTTTACGATTGAATGTTAGTTTGAATCATCTACTTATACACAAAATATCTGCCAAATGGTAAATAAAACAATGATCAGGTCTTTAGTGCTAGAGAGATCCTGTTCAATAAAAACAAAAGATTACAAACAAGCTAAGAAACATAATACTGAAGTATATTCAATTTTGTGATACATTCGAAACGTGAAGGTATGAAGCTCCACTGATTTACTATCAAGATCTAATCAGAGAGTTATTAACAAAAACAAACAAAGGAAAGAACACTTAAAATATCGTCCATATGTAAGCTTACTCATTAACGTCCAGCTCAGCATCCTTACTCCATTTTCTTAAATTATCTTCATCGTCACTCTCTTCTTCACTCGAATGAGAAACCAATGTTGTTAGTTTAGACCCAGAGTTTGAGGCAATATCATGATCTCTATTCTCTATTTGGCTACATTCATGATTTGGAATTAATTTGGAGCTATTCGGGTTTAGCTTCTGATTACTGGTATTCTGTTTAGTCCTGAAATAAGCACGTATTTTACTCGGGTTAAGGGTGAAAAGAACTGCTCCACTCATCCATGCACAATGCCAGTAGGACTGATCAATAAATTTAACAAAATATTCTTGTTCAACGATTTCTTTGTTGTTGGATGAAAAGCTCCTTACAGCTTCACTGACTATAATTTAAATAAAAACTAATTTGAGCAATTAAGCATAAAGCTAAACAGAAGTATAAGATTAAAAGTAGAACATATTAGATGATAACATGAATTTACTAATTTCATAAACAAATAAAACCGCTAAAAATCTTTGGTGTGCACGTAAAAAATTATTTTCCCGTCTAGTGAATCAAAAATTTCAAAACAATCCGTGCAAGAGAATTTATTTTCACTATAACAGTATCTGTCAATGATTTCCAAGGATATCAGTTAGTTGGATTTAGGTTGGGAGGAAATTTAGAGAGCTAAATGTTTATTAAGTGAAGATTGTCTGATATCAAGGAGCAAATAAGTTCAGTCTAGTGACATTTTTATTCCCTTGGATATCTAGGCCAACGCTAGGGAGGTGATCATTAGAGGGATACATAACTAATCATTGTTTCTTGCAGTATATAGGTGAGGTGTAACCACTTAAAATAGATGTATCAAACACACGCATTTCAGCATAGCTTTCCTAAAACATCGCTTACTTAAATTAAAATTAAAGTTGAGATTGATCTTCATAAATTGTTACACCATTCGTTGGAGAAAGAACATGAGTACTTTGTCCAACCTCATCTATTTCAACAAATATGGATCAAAGTGGTGAAACTACTTGCATTATACAAAAATATGAAGACTAAATAATCCAATGATTTAAGATGTAAGGAATTAATAACATTAATCGCAGTGATATGAGCAAAAGTACGAATCTAGCTAATCCTATTCTATCGAGATGTATAATGTTTCCTGTTCCGTAATGAGAAAATTTGTAATTTACGCAAAACAAAAAATGTCAGAATAGCTTGAAAGTATGCTCGATGGGTTGAATGTTTCTGTAAATATTGTGTGAGTTATAAAAGTTGTAGATCCATTTATAAAGTTTCATAATTAAAAAGGTCAGGTTTTTCATCATTATTTATTTGTAGCATATTGATTTTAGAGCAATCACATGGGATTTTAATGAGAAAGGAACTGAACATTGCGACAGGAACATGAACACTTCCACTCAGATAACATAATTTGAACAAAAATCTCGGTTATTTCATGATATTTATCAGAAACATTTCGAAATAGTCATTCCACTTAGTGATAAGCATTTTATAGTGACTAATATCAACAACTTTCAATAACGGTTAGAATTATCCAAAACCCCATATACTGAGTTCTTGTTACTTAAAAACGAAAAATAACTGCATATACATCATCTTCAACTTTAAAACTAACGAACATTTAAAAAGAATTATTCACATACGATTTTTGTTATACCAGTAACTTTTAACACTACTTTAAATCATCAGATTGCTGATCTAATGCACCGTTTTTGTCGGTATTCAATATACCTTGTTTTGCTTGCATTTATTATAAATCATTTCATAAAACGGCTACACATTTAATATGTAGATTCCTGGGTATAAAACTGTTATAACTTTTGAACCTGTGTGCCCTGTATATTGGATAACGCAACGATACCGCCAATCAGAGAGCAGAGAATTATCGATCGAACCAGTGACGCATAAAACACGTGCGAGCAGCCTAGAGTCCTGATTGGTCTCACTTCCTGTCTAGACCAGCCAGTTGAGCCCAGAACACCAAACTCAGCCTCTGCAATATGAATCGTTTATTTCAAACATACTCGGTTTATATACCAATCAAACAGACCACAACATACCATAAAATAAGAAACAACATTTGTACAAGAATTAGCCAAATGTGGCTGTGAATGAGGGAGATAGTAATTAATAGACAAGGCATAATTCAAGAATGGTAAACAGTACAGTAATAGTATATCGGTCAAATTAAAGCTTATAATAAGAGCGACATGAATATGAACAGTTTAGTTACATAACAATTACACGATAAAAATACACTCATAGTATTGGCCCATAAATGGACCCCAAGAATTACCATTCATTATTCTTATCTGGATATAACAAAAACTTAGACTATTTAAGAGTCTGATGTGTTTACGGTAACAGTGTTAAATTTAACGACAGCTCTGTTCCTCCCTAGCCCTGACTACTCCAAGATACAAATCTTGTAAGGGATGTTCATTTGGTAAAGACTTGGGGAAATTTATTTATATTCAAGTTCATTCAAACATATAACGACTGAATTACTAGTTACATAAATTATCAAACTGAACAATTGTCACGAGAACGCAACATCACAGAGAATTAATTAGTACAATGAAAATGAACTGAAAATTAAATGAACAAAAATCACAACGGATTAATGAGAACTGAAAGTTGATGAATAAAAATCACCTTAAATCAAGACGTGAATTTGAAAACTGACTTCATGCTATCCTTTAATTAATTCCCTTGATAAACTTGCAAAATAAGAACAATGTCGTATCTGAGGATTTAACATCTCCAACATAGTAGAAATGTGGTTTTCTGAAAACAACCATCATTTCGCTATTGAATGAGCTATAAATCCTACATCTGTATAATAACAAGCCATTACTTAGGCCATGACAACGAGAATTAAGCAAGTCACTGAATTCCAACTACAACCGAATAACATTGCTCAGAGATTGACTAACAATTCATTGTTAATTTTAGCACTTATATACACTTCATGTATGAAATGAAAACATCATAAGATCTACTAGTGAGACATAAAACCGGAACAATTTAAATGTTACATATCAGCGTACCACGTTTAAACAAATAGAAAAACCTGACTATAGGCTTTTCCAAGTAAAGATAGATAATTAGCCGAAAACATGATAGCACAAAAACGTATGGACCAACATACTATACAATATAGTAAGTTATATAATTCCCCTGTTATATGAAAGTTTTACACGAACAGATGTCTTTTATGAGCACGAGAAGACATGCTAGAATATACAACTCTTTATGTTTAGGCTGATCTGTTGTATAACTTTTTAGTTTTAATTTATGTGATTCAGTAATTAAAATTTCCGGGTTTTCAGTAGTACTTTTTGTGTGAGTGCTAACGACAACACCCGGTTTCACTAACCAAAGTCGCTGGGACGGGATCGGAACACAACTCCTTTGAAAACTATCCATAATAAAAGTTTTAAGGAAAAAGTAAGTACGATTACTCACTCGCTTTCGTAATCTTTGAACTTTTTAATTTACGATTCCCCAATATTTGTTCTACAGCAATCTACAGATAAGAAATGAGATATTTGCTAATTCTTGTAATTAAATTAGTTGGAAAAATGCAAAATAAACTTTTTGTAGAAGCGCAGGTTAATATAGGAGTCAGCAGATACTTTGATATTACAAGTATTCACACATTCCTTATAGCTCTCTAAAAACGCTTTCACAGTCCATTTAGTAAGAAATTAAAGCTGACTGATTAGAAGAATCAATCATTCGTAACAAAAATTACAGTTACGTTGTTTAACTCAAAGAGTAAAAAACAAGTTTACAAAACTTCTGTGCACCGAAATAGAGTCAGAATTCAAAATAAGTTGCTCGCCATCACAATACCTAGTATTTACCAAAAACTAGTCGAGTCATATAGCTCCCGAAAATAATTGTAAATACATCTTATCTAATAAAAGTGAGACGACAGATGGATATAGAGGCTCGAGTTAAACGTTTTGCATGCACAACGAAAGTAATTGTAATGACTCCCTTTTATCGAAATCAGTCTAAATAAAAATTCATTTGGAATGGGCTGATCATAAGTGCGTAATCGCCTATGAATACTATGATAAAATAACATTGTTCTTCATCAGTAAGTACACCACAAGCCATTTTTAATGCCTTAGAACATAACGCTTTGACCACATAGCACTGCAACACTATGCAACATCCGTACGTTGGACCAAATAGAAAATACGTAAATGGCTGAAACACTTTATCGACAAAAATCCACTTTGTTAAAGGTATCTTACCCATGTATTAATTGATTCTCCTTCCATATCTATATATTGACTAAGATCATACTCATGAAGAGAGACATCATCACTCAAGAGCCTTTCCCATTCGTCCTCTTGTATCTCGACAAATCGTTTTCTTATAGACCGTCGAGGTCTGAGGTTTTTATGCTGTAAAGTGGACGAATCATCGTCCTCAGGAAAATATGAATGGGTTTGATCTGGCTTATTTATGCCTCCAGAGAGACCGTCTTCCTGTTGACTAGAGGATTCTGGAATCTGCTTTTCATGGAATGGTGTATCGTTGTTCAGTTCATCTGGTCGTTCAGGTACCGAGTAGTCGATTTGTTCAATTGGTGCAAGAGTATCTGATTTAGTCTCATGTTCGTCGTCGTTTACATTCATAGGTATAATTGATTGCATTAGAAGAACGTCGCACGGTTCGTTAGTACTGACAGGATCTGATTCCATTAAATAAATTTAGTGGCAGTCAACGAAAAATAGACATTCAGACATTTCAATTCAGTCAATCATCCAAAACTAAAATAAAGGATCTTTGGTCGCCTGGTTTGTTGAACTTTCACATACAAGTCAACCAAAAAGTAAATAATGATTTGCTCTGCTGTCCGAAAATCTTTCAGTATCTGAAATCATCAAAAAAATATAATCTAGGAAATGAAGCTCCTAAAATGTGGATACTAAAATTGTGGATCCTTAATATACTCATGCAAGAATGAGTCTAAAAAGGACAAATTCAAATTAACAGAGACTTATTATTTTTCATTATTATTAATGGCTTTATTCAGTATTATATTTTGGTACAATTTGGAATTATCAGCACGAGGTATTTGAACAAGTTTCTTATACAGAAAAAACAAAGGAAAAAGCTGAAAATCTGAATCTGTACAACTTTCCAAATAAGAAACATGCTTAAGAACACAGGTTATTGACGAGTTTAGCTCTAACCTGTTCGTCACAGAGTATATTTGCTAGGTAAGGTAATATAGAACTTTTACACCTTTGCTTGCGTGCATAGATTTCAATGTATTTACGTCTCATTCTACGAGGAGATATACAAGGAGAAAGATATGAGTGATGGGGATGGTTAGTATCTGTAAGGTAACACCTGCCAGGAGTTTGCAAGACTTTAGATGTCTATCCACAACCAAATTGATAGTGACCTCGAAAGATTCACCACACATTGCTAACTGCCTTCAGAACTCTCTGCAATACAGCAAAGTCTGTTCTCAAAAGCCTAGGAGAACAGTAAGGAATAATAGGTCATATGCAACCCGTTTATGTAGTAAGTTAGACGGAAAACTTTCTTCGATAACAGTGAAATATGAGAAGACCAAGAGAGATCAGGGGAAAACGTAACACCAAGATAATTAGCTTTCGACACTGACAAAAGCATGGAATCCCAAAATAGTGTTTAGGTGCGGTTCATGTCTCCTGCTAAAGTTAACAGTTTGACATTTAGACGGATTAAGTATGAGACCATTAACACCACACCACCACTCAAGGCGAGGCAAAAATTCATTCAGTTCTATGGAATGTAAAGAGCTATAAATCGGCATACATGCAATGAGACCATCCGTATATTTCACGAGTGTCTTCTGTGGAAGATGGCAGACCATGCAGATAAACAGAAAAGAAGAGGTGGAAGAACGGCTCCTTGTGATACACCTTCATGAGACAGTAGAGACGTTGAACACACCTCCAAACAGTGTACTGTTCCCTTCCAGAGAGGTAGGAACACAGACAATTGGTTATCCAGCTGTCAGTGTTGACGCTGATTAACTTGTTAGGTAAAAGTTGCCTTGGGATAGAATCGAAAGCAGACGTATAGTCCAGAAAAGAGCATCGAACATACTTCTTACCATTTCTTAAGCTGAAGACTATATTGTGATGTAGAACAGCAAGGAAATCTAACGTGCTTCTTTTGCATTTGTAGGCAAACTGATACAGATCAATGTGCTCTTTTATTGCAGGTTGAAGTGGGAGTATCAATATTTTTTTCATTGTTTTGAGGAAAGGTGAAGTTATTGCAATGGCTTTAAATTTCACATTCTTACCACCAGATACTTTCTTAGGTATAAGGATTATATTTATCTTTCTCCACATTGCCGGTGTGAGATTAGTTGAGAAGGATCTGTTAAAGATACTTGTGAATGGACAAAATAGAACGTCAGCGCATTTTTTAAAGAGGTTCGGGATACCATCAGATGAGTTAAGTGACTAGAGATATTTTCAGACATCAGTTTCAGTGAAATTAGGAACACAACTATTCTTCAAACCTGTGGATATAAGGAGCATTGCATCAGATGACTGACGTACAAAAGACTTATTTAAGTCACGAACATTCAGCTAGTTATCGCTTCTAATATGCCTGTCACCCGCAAGTTTTTTAAATAGTTTTCACATTCTTGGAGAGTTCTTAAAAGACAGGGTTTTTTGAGTAAACATAGAGTCGGGACGTCTAATCTCTAGGTTTATTAGACTATTTAGCTTACGAAATTCAATAGTCTTTCTCCTTGTATATTCTTTCTTTTACCCTCCGTATTCCTTTTAGTTGTGAAGATGTAAGTCGATCAAAACTCACAAAAATGGTTTCAGTAAGACAACAAATATTAAAACAAAATTTAAGGTAACAAGTGTTAACATAAGTTGGTGCTCAGGTTTTCACAGGCATGTTACGCAAGTGTTCCATGAAAGATCTCAAAAGTAACAATTCAGAAAACTTTCAACTACAGTATCTTTACCAATTATTCAAAAATGTTATTCAAACATAGTCGATCCATAAATGCCACTATATTTTAATATAATCATTCACCACAGTGGGTGTTCATTGATCCGAGTTGTCACACCCCACAACAGCGCAACAAAAGGAAGTACGCAAGATGAGAATATAATATAAAGCAATACTGAAAAAAGTCTAAATATGAGAAGCATAATTCGAAAAATGCAAAGAAGCTTGAAGTTGTGGATGACATTTAAAGCTTAACGAGAGACAGTGAATTGCCCCAACTGTGTCCAAGTGACAGGTTCCGTGCCATGTAACCCAACATCAGCAATCATTGAATGAGAGTATTTCATAGGCGTCAAACAAGTCTCCCTCTACCGACGCGAATTAGATTGATAATCAATGGCTTAATAGACTGATCGTGTACGTGTCTTTTAGCACGATCATTGTCTTCCGACTCCAGATTCCAAATCATTAAACTAGGATGGGGTCCAACTTCTTTGAAAGTAGTGTTCACGGCTTTCGACTGAGATGTCAGATCCTGTCTGTTAACAGATGGCATCTTACCGTTAAGTTCCCTTGTAACGGAGTCGTGGGAGCGAATGACTCACAACAATGCTTGATGAGGTCTTACTTTGGGATTTCGGCGGAGTAATCTGAAATGCAGAATATGTGTCCACCAAGGACTTTTCAACTAGACGGACGTTAGTTTTGACGATCATGCCTACACTCCTACGTTTCTGCATTATCCATTTCCTACCAGTTGCAGCACCCACATTAGAGCCACTCCGGACGGTAATGATTTTGTGTGAATCATCAGTGGCTACTGTAGTAACTTGGATATCAATATGTGATGGGATTTCGCTCATTAGTTGTTTCGGGACAGAGAGCTTGATTGCGTGTTGCATAGTTGGGGGTCTAGCATCTGTCGTGACAGCACTTACGACACTGACGCAATCTTCGCTATCAGTACCCATGTTACCAGTCTAGCCCTCGTCAACATTTTATTAGCCAACACCAGGAGGCTAATTGCTTCCTGGACGAGCAATGTTTTGCTTTAACAACAAAACATACATGGCCAGTAAGAGTTAGGCCATGAGCATCTTTTATAAGCAGCGGGACTTAAGCAGGCACACATCTTATAGAACCACTTCTTGCACTCATCATATTGCATCCTTCTTCCAAAGAGAATAAGCAATATGACTGTCCACATTTTTGAGAAGAGCCTAACATCTCAAAAACCACACAAAAATGGTAACATGAGATGGATATGAAAAAACTTTAACTAAATACATTAACTCAAAGTCAACCAGGTATGCCTTGACGCAATAAATAGACAGAAGCAAAACCAAAACGCACAATTACAATATCACTTTAACTGAAATAAATTCAGAAAGTGTGAACAGTAGTTTTGATGAGTAATTTACGTTCAAAACAGTAAATTTAACTCAAATATACCACCATGATCTTTAAATAGCGCGCGCAGGAAAATGAGACAAAATACGTGGGTTTGGGACCCAGCAAGCACACTAAACGAACTTACAGATAAAACGAAAACAGTAGACAATAATTATTAAGAATAACACAAGCCTCGCATTGCGACAATCTTGTAATTGAGATCAGAAGCAGATAATCCAACCTGCTACAGTATGCAAGTTGCCTAAGAAGCGTTATATATTGAATTGACGGCTACAATGTCTAATATCATTGAAAGACGACGTTAATAAAATGACCCACTTTGAATACCATATTAGGACTACGAAACGGATTAAAGTCTCTATGGGCGTCTGGATATGGCAGTTTATACAAATAACTGGGTTGTATTTGGCGCAGTCCACAAATATTTTCCACAATTTGAAAAATTCCCATACTGTAATCTAGAGCAAAATATAAGAGTGAACAATATTGTTTTCGGTTACGTCCCCATCAGGCTTCAGTCTAATATATAGTAATATTTATATGCATGAACCGCACAGTAGTCCTAGTAACTCTCGAACAACAATACCTAGCCCACAGGAATAAAAGTTAGACCAAGAAAAACTTGCTTCAGTAGGTTTTAGGTGGATTGCCAGTTGTCTTGTCTTTTCTGCCCTTTATGACCACACACGAACCTGGAACTATGTCAAACAATTACGTTTAAATTAGAGAAAGAGTCGTGCCTCCTGAGAGATCTGATTTCTTAGTACAAACGTTTCGGAGATTCATTCCTTCCATTGCTCATCTATACTCCTTTAACACTAATCGAAAAAGTCATTTCAGCTAAACGATGCAATGCCTTTATCCGAACGCCCAAAGTAAGTGTCTTTGAACCGTCAGTATCAAATTTTGTGCATTGCGGAAGCTTTCTGTATTTATTTTAAATCATGAAAATAATATCATTTTTAGAGAGATATTTGGAGATTTGTGCTTTTCGAATGAAGCTGATTTCATAAAAAAACAACGTTTATGGTGAGGTAACCTCTGCCATTTCCCAGTGCAAGGCATTTATCTAAATCAAAATCATTTTTATGCGAAATATGTATGCAGTTTGGAATGTCGCCCCAACAGTTAACAGCTTCTCAAGAGACACTACAGTCAGTTCAGCAATAGCTTGTTGTCTTCGCTGTAGAACTAAGTCCCATACATTTACCTTTCGTTGAAAAGATTTCATGCCGTATCTAGATGGTTATTGGGTCATGTGCATGTGGCGCTGCGTCTAATCACTGTCAAAGATCCTACTCATTAAACA